GGTTGACGGTGATGAGGGGGGGGGGGTTGACGGTGATGAGAGGGGGGGGGTGACGGTGATGAGAGGGGGGGGTGACGGTGATGAGAGGGGGGGGGTGACGGTGATGAGAGAGGGGGGGGTGACGGTGATGAGAGGGGGGGGGTGATAAGAGAGGGGGGGGGTGACGGTGATGAGAGGGGGGGGGGGTGACGGTGATGAGAGAGGGGGGGGGGTGATGAGAGGGGGGGGTGATAAGAGGGGGGGGGGGTTGACGGACCCCGGTGACCCGAATTCGATTCTCATTCACACAGCCAGCAACGCCAATGACGGTGATATCTGAAACAGTTTTGGGGGGGGGGGGGCTCCCCTGAGGTAGCAGCAGCCACCTATGAAGGCCCGCACGGTCACACGAGGTGGTGGGGTGGTCAGCCCCACGCCCCGGCCGTCTTTGTATCCCCCAGTCGCGATGTTTAAGGGACCGTCCATAAATAACGTCACGCGATTTTGGACGATTTTTGACCCCCCCGCCCCCTCGTCACACGGCGTCACAAAAAATAAGACCCCCCCTTAAATATGATGTCACAAAGCTCTGCCCCCCCCCCTCCCAAAAAATAAAACATGCTTAAAATCGCTTTAAACTATTGTCATTGTAGTGCGTATTTAATGTGGCGTTGCACTCTGATTTTGTAGGAGATAAGATTTATTAAAAAGTCTATTTAATTCAGTAGAACGTGTTGTCTATATTTATTTAAAGTTGCACGTTTTGATGTGACGTCACATTTCTCAAACCCACCCCCCCTAGTCACACATCGTCACAAATGTCTGACCCCCACCCCCCCCCCCCACAGGTGCGTGACGTCATTTATGGACGGCCCCTAAGGGCACAACGCACAGGGAGGTACCTTCATTTGAGGGTCGTGTTGACTCTGATGCAGGGTGGCGAAGCCCAAGACCGGTGCAAGATAATCGTCACTGGCACGTGTTGGAGAGAGGGAATCGGACTTCGAATGTGGAGTTTGCTGCACGTCCGCTTGCTCACACAGACACACACCACCCCCAAGACAAAGATCCCCCGTGTAGCCTTGACAGGACTGTTGGGGCAAGTGCTGAGTACCTTTTACGCCTTCTCAGGAGGGTCCCTGGCAATTTTCCACAACCGGGACCGATATTGCTGCTGTGTGGAATTCCAATTGCTGTACACACAGCACCCATGACTGTGAGTAGCAAACCTGTCAACCCCTGACCTTATAATAGACCAATTCAGACCTCATTGGTCACCCCGTGTCCCTTATACATCTCAACGTTCATCCTATACACTACTATACACCCCTATACACGACACTATACACTACACTATACACTACACTATACACTATACTACACACTACTATATACTACACTATACACTACTATACACTACACTATACACTACACTATACACTACTATACACTACTATACACTACACTATACACTACACTATACACTACTATACACTATACTACACACTACTATATACTACACTATACACTACTATACACTATACACTACTACACACTACACTATACATTACTATACACTACACTATACACTACACTATACACTACTATACACTACACTATACACTATACTATACACTACTATACACTACACTATACACTACACTATACACTACTATACACTACACTATACACTACTATACACTACACTATACACTACACTACTGCATACCAGTCAACCCCTTATCAGTGCCCTACCTTATTACAGACCAATTCAGACCTCATTGGTCACCGCGTGGCCCTTATACATCTCAACGTTCATCCTACAAAGTCCATTCTCAAGGAAGAAACACAAACAAATTGACAAAAAAATGTGCCCGCATTGAAACGGCTGTACGCCGTATGGACCTGAAAATTCAATTTCCATGTACAAGAATACGGGGTTTAAACCGTATGGGTTGACAGGTATGAAGTACCACCTATGAAGGCCGCTTGCTAATGATTACCCATCGTACCAAGACACTCACACGAGGCTGAATCGACCTAGGGGAGACCCCCATAACTTTTTCAGGTATCACCGTTATTGGTGTTGGTGGTTGTGAATGGGAATCGAATTCGGGTCGCCGGGTTCGTACAGAAGCACGCTTGCCGCTCCCTAACCGCTCACCACATCCACTCATCAACCCCTTTCATCGCCATCGTCCTCTCACCGCGCCCCCCAGTGTCTCACCCCAGAATCACTCACCACCTTCCATAGCCGCAAATCTCCAACTCACCTATCCCTTCCCCCACTTCCAATTTGCACCCTGCCATGACCCCCTCCCCCCCTCCCATCACTCGGCCCTCCCCATCAACATCCTCCTATCAACCCAACCTACGAGTACCCGCCATCATCCCCTTATTTCCATCACGATCCTGCCTCCCATCACCCCATTCTCTCCTACGACCCCTCCCTCCCATCCCCATCCTCCCATCACCCCATCCTCCCATCACCCGATCCTCCCATCACTCGATCCTCCATCACCCCATCCTCCCATCACCCCATCACCCCTCCCTTCCATCCCCATCCTCCCATCACCCCATCACCCCTCCCTTCCATCCCCATCCTCCCATCACCCCATCACCCATCACCCCATCACCCCATCCTCCCATGACCCCTCCCTTCCATCCCCATCCTCCCATCACCCCATCCTCCCATCACCCCATCACCCCTTCCATCCCCATCCTCTCATCACCCGATCCTCCAATCCCCATCCTCCCATCACCCCATCCTCCCATGACCCCATCCTCCCATGACCCCATCCTCCCATGACCCCATCCTCCCATGACCCCATCCTCCCATCACCCCATCCTCCCATCACCCCATCACCCCATCACCCCATCCTCCCATCACCCCATCCTCCCATCACCCCATCCTCCCATCCCCATCCTCTCATCACCCCATCCTCCCATCACCCTATCCTCCCATCATCCCATCCTCCCATGTCCCCTCCCTCCCATCCCCATCCTCCATCACCCCATCCTCCCATCACCCGATCCTTCCATCACCCCATCCTCCGATGACCCCTCCCTCCCATCGCCATCCTACCATCCCCATCCTCCCATCACCCCACCCTCCCATCACCTGATCCTCCCATCACCCCATCCTCCCATGATCCCTCCCTCCCATCACCCCATCCTCCCATGTCCCCTCCCTCCCATCCCCATCCTCCTATCACCCCATCCTCCCATCACCCCATCCTCCCATCACAACGCTTCCATGACCCACCCTTCCTCATGACTCCGGCCTCCAGGGCAGCGCGTGCAAAGTAGGCAAGGCAAAGGTGCTCATTTACCTGTTGGGTCACGTGCGCTCAGGTGGGGGCACCGGGGAACACGCATCACGAACACAAATAAACTAAACCTGTTCAACTGAACTATTTTATTTATTTGACCAGGTGAGACCCACTCAGCCTATAGACCCTAAACTACTCTTCAGCAATTGTTTTCTTGCTGTGGTTGTCCCACCTGATGACAGACGCTTGTGTTGCGCCCGAAACGTCGTGATTTAATTCATTTTATTTTATACCTACGTGACTTTACCGATTTGCACCCAGCCATAGACCAGAGTTTTTTTTGTAATAAATGATAGACACTACTTGGGGTGCACCCAGCCGCTTGAGGTTTGTGGATAATAGGGTTTGTGGATAATAGGGTTTAGGCCAGAGGTTGGCAACCAAAATAACAAAACATTTATTTTCTAATTCGGTAAGAAAAAGCCTTGATATTTCACGATCCATAATAAGGTTTATTTTGGGTTTTTTTCGCGTAAATAGAAATGCGTCGTTAAACCCGTCACCACCACCATAAGGTTTATTTTGGGGTTATATCGCGTAAATATAAATGCGTCGTTAAACTCGCCACCACCCAACACTGCCAATCCGTAGGGTTTTTAAATCCTTGCTTGCTTGCGCGCTTACGACCGTGCAAATTTTTCGGTCGTTTTTTAACCCACTTCCCGTGATCCAATCGAGCTGACATTTTGCACACAGACTCGTTGTGCGTGACAATTTATTTTCGTGAAATTTTTTTTCCAAAATTTTCCACTTTTTAGGAAAAAATTAATTTCATATTTTATTTAAAATACCAATGTGATAAAAATGAAACTCTTACTCAAGAAAAACAGAAATGAATAATAAAATAAAACCGATGCCACGCATATAAAGGATTTATAGTGAAAAACTTTTTTTTACGGGTTAATTTTTTTTTAAGCCGACGTCGGCTACGTGTCCCATAATGAATCACGTGTCACGAAGCAGTCGACCTCCGTTGGGGGCGAGGTTGATTGTAATGGGGTTCGGGTTTATGGGTCTGAGTTTAGGGGTTAGAATTTACGTTTTGGGATAGGGTTTAGCGGTTATAGTGTAACGTTAGGGTTTAAAGGATGAGCGATTCGGGGTTAGGGTCTTTGTGGGTCACGTTTGCGGTTATAGTGTTTGGATAGGGTTTGTTGGATTTGAGTTGAGGATTAGAGTTTTAGGATTGTGTGGTGAGAGTTAAAGCCAGGGTTTCATATTGATGGGTTAGGATTAAGGGGCCGTCCATAAATGACGTCAGACATTTGTGATGATGTGACGAAGGGGGGGGGGGGGGTGAGAAATGTGACGTCACATCAAAATGCACAACTTTAAATAAATATAGACAACACGTTCTACTTCATTAAATAGACTTTTTAATAAATGTTTTCTCCTACAACATCAGAGTGCAGCGCCACATTAAATACGCACTACAATGACAATAGTTTAAAGCGATTTGAAGCATGTTTTATTTTTTTTTGGGGGGGGGGCAAAGCTTTGTCACCTCATATTTGAGGGGGGGGGGTAAAAAATCGTCCAAAATCGCGTGACGTCATTTATGGACGGCCCCTAAGGGGTAATGGGTGTATTGGTTAAGGGTTTAATGCGTGAGGTGGTTAGAGACAGCGGTGATTCAACCTTCGATATAAATCTTCGGGGGGGCCAATCGCCGACGACTACTACCCCGCGTGAGCAAATCGCCGCGGTCCCTTCGTTCACGATCAGCTGATATTCGCCAACGTGACCGCACGTGTGGGGTAAAGAAGACGGGACGAGGTGAACGAGGTGGACGAGGTGGACGAGGTGAACGAGGGAGACATCTTCGGGACAGGTACTTTGTTCGTTACTCCATTTTCACCGTGGCCGGATAGCCGACGCTTTATCTACAGCCAGGCGTGTTGGGATGACATCCATGATGGTGGTCTTGTAGGTAGGCCTGAACACCGTTCGCGGAACCTAGGCTGTTGCCTAGAAGGCCGCGCCGGCTTTTGGGGCACCTAAGGCGGCGGCCCTTGCACGCGGAGGCCGCTGCCGAGGATTCGGGCCTTGGCGGTAGTCGGGAATGTAGCGGGTTGTACTTTAAATAACTTATCTTGTGAGTTTTATTGTTTTATCTTAAGGAGTACAATACTGCAGTTCGTGTGCAGGTCATAGGTTTAATACTGTATTGCATGGCATGATCGCGAGGTGATGCGGCCTTCATCGAGCAGTGGATTGACCACGGCTGACGGTGATTAATGAATACGGCATCGTATTGCGGGTGTTGTTAGGAGGGTGGTGGGACGATCGGGCAAGCGACTTGGAAGCTGAAAGGGGTAAGAAATTGCAATGGGTGGGATGCCGGATAAGGGGGAGCAACTTGGAGTTTGGAATGTAACGTAGCGAGATGGCCGCTTGTGTTGCGATCGAAACGTCGTGATTTGTGTTATTTTAGTTCTAACTACGTGACTTTACAGAAAGAACCAAAGAGCGTGGCTATATAGTTTGGTTCTTTAATCTGGAAGGTTGTGATTGGTGTACACAAGTGTGTTATGGCTTCTCCGATGAGCGCGGTTGGGGCTACGTACGAAGTAAGAAGTCCAGCATCCATGGCACTGTGCATACACAACGTGCCGCTGTATACTGGCAGACCGTGGCATTTGAAAACAGGTATATGTAGTAGATGCTAAGTATATAGTGTAAAAATGAAGCTACTTGGAAGTTCAGGTTTAAAGAGGACTTTGCTTCACTCGGCGAGAACTCGAGACCAGGATAGTCGCACGTGTAAACAGAACGTGGTAGCTAAAGTCTAGAAGATATCATCTACACTATGGGAACCTCATTTGCCAGTAAAAATATGATAATTGGTTTTTTACCCTTCTATCTGGCAACAAAACTGACACCTTTTTACAAGGAGTCATGTTTGCATAGACCGCAATACCTGCAGTCATAATACGTGGCGTCATCTGGTCCAACCCATGTGAGACTAGGCTCTAAGGAAAGCTGTCTCGGGTGTGGACCAATCAACTTCAAGGACAGTGCATACATTAATTCTAGATTTGAATATGAATAGTGCATACATTATCAGAGTTATGTCTTTTGTTTGTATTATGACTGCAGGTGTTGCGGTCTATGCAAACATGACTCCTTGTAAAAAGGTGTTAGTTTTGTTGCCAGATAGAAGGGTAAAAAAACAATTATCAAGATATAATCTTTAAAAAAAACAACCAGGTGGTTGGGATGGGTGGGACGCGTTTGCGGGAAGGAGAAGAGGCCAGGTCATCTTACACGGGCTTTGGAGACCGGTGACGAGGGGGAAGAGAATACCAAAGAACCGATAGGGGGTGGGGGAAAAGCGTTTAATGCAGTTGCTGGAGGTCGCTGCATGTCAAATGTGCAGCAGCTGCGGCATCTAGAGGGTGAAGACAACGTTGGCAGTGATGGGGGGGGGGGGCATCCACGGTTTTAGCCACGACATTGTCACAGTGGCGAGATGTTAACTACCTCGCCTGGTATGCAGGAGGGACGTGGGTTCGATCCCCGACCCTGACAATGTCTGCTGCTGTATAATTGTTCTGGGGTTTTTTCCCCTTCCACATTGAGAATCAACATCGCGCGTTTAAGATTAGTTGACCGCTTCTGTAAACGAGCTGCATGAAGCTCAGTGGGCCTTACCTGTTAAAAAAATATTTTATAGTTTTTAGCTTGACATGCTCAACATCTCGATTTAAAGCTTTCGTGACTGCAGGGATTCATCTTCTTGGTTCTTTCGGTAAAGTCACGTAGAAGGGAAATAATAAAATAATAAAAATATACATTATAAAATAATATTTTATTATGTTTTATTTTTATTAGCATATTCTTGGTTCTTTCGGTAAAGTCACGTAGAAGGGAATAACAAAATAATAAAAATAAAACAATAAAATATTATAATCAAAATAAAACATAATAAAATATTATTTTATGTTTTATTTATATTAAGAAAAATAATAAAATATTAAAAATAAAACATAATAAAATAATGTTTTATTTTTATTTTATTATTTCCCTTCTACGTGACTTTACCGAAAGAACCAAGAATATGCTGAACATCACCGGCATGGCCGAGAGGCTGTGTACACGGCAGCTCGTGCGAGCCAAGGCCTCGTTACCGCCCTCTGGTGGACAAATTGGCGACTGACAGTCAATCTCAAATGGCTTCCACAGGTGGGGATTATGGTGGCAGGAATGTGGTGGTGGTGGTTGGTGGGTTTCCACGCGGAATGGAGGCGCTGTAATAGAGGGACATCGTATGCCCGACAACATAACCGTTCAGAGATCCCCCCCCCCATGTATGGCCATTTGCGGATTAATCGCTGTCAAGAGTCATTGTCAATAGACCCATGGGTCGAGTAAGGATATTAATACTCTTAGGTTTTTTCGGTAAAGTCACGTAGGTAAAAAAATTAATGATAAAAATAATAGAAATAACTATTAATAAAATATTATATTTCTATTATTACCTACGTGACTTTACCGAAAAAACCTAAGAGTATTAATCCTTGCAGTCACGAAAGCTTCAAATCTAGAATTAAGGATATTAAGCCAATCCCCTTAATTGGACTGGCTAAATGTCAGCAAGATCTACGATCCCGTCGCAGGCCGCTTTCATTTGTTACCACAGCGCCTTCAGTTACGCTTGCGTTGCTCATGAGCGTTAAGAAGCAAGAAACCGCTCCGACTTGCATACAGAGGATGCGTTTGCTGCCATGTGCGCTGTAATGGAAACTTATGGCGGTAAGAAAAACGTGGAAATTCCAAACGCAGAGGTGTTTTATTTTTATTAATTTTAATTTAATTTTTTACCTACGTGACTTTACCGAAAAAACTAAGAGGTGTTTGGGGTGGGTTGTGACAACGCTGGGACACACAGAGAATATGCGTGCAAAATCGCATTCGGTCATTGGCTTCAAGCACTGCAATTGTCCCCCCCCCTCCCCCCTGCCACTGGTTCATCCGGCGCAGGTTTGTGGACGGAGACGATGGCTCGCACGCACAAGCAGCGCGCCAAGAAGTCCAAGCTGATGAAGGTGAAGAGGCGCACGCGCGACCTGGACCAGGTGCACGGTGACATGCGGCCGGAGAGCGCCGGGGCCCTACTGCACCAGCCGGAGGACCTGGACCTGCCCGGGAACGCTCAGCACTATTGCCTGCACTGCGCGTACGGATGAGCACTGCTGCCGCCCCTCTGACCACCGTCTCCCTCCCTTGTACACCTCGAATTGGAGATTCTGTAGGGCGCAGTGGTGGCGAGACGTTAGCTACCTCGACTAGTATACAGGAGGTCGTGGGTTCGATCTTGACCCTGACGATGCCTGCTGTAAATTTGGAGTTTGCGTGGCTCCCTCTCCCCGTGGTATGTTAACTACCTCGCCTGGTGTACAGGAGGTCGTAGGTTGCATCCCAACCCTGACGCCTGCTGCTGTATATTTGGAGTTTGCACTGTCATAACTGGGGTAGCCTGGATCTTTCTGTGGGTGCTCTGATTTTTCCCCTCCATTTAGAAACATGCCTTTGAGTTTTTGGTTCCTGCTATAAATTTCCACAAGCCACTTAAGCCATCATTTATGGCCAGGTTGATTCTGAAAAATAGCAATTTAGCTGTGGGCCTTACTTGGCAAAATGAATTTAAAGGTTAGTTTATAATGGTTACTTTGAATGCTTTATCTGTGTATAGCGTCATTCCTGACAACTGAATCTCTACAAACGCTGGAGGATTTGTGACTGGCAAATGGTTGTTTCCCGCAGGCGGTATTTCATCGACCTGCAGACCCTGAAAGTGCATTTCAAGACTAAAACACACAAGCAAAGGCAAGGACACATCCTGGATATGAAGAATGACGTCAAGAACGTTATATTTATACACAACACAAGTTTAACAAGCTTCAAGGACAATCAGGAATTGGTCTCAGAACCTTGTTTCAGCTGCTTCACAGCAGCAGTATGGCCTTCAGATCACGATTCTTGTGTTCTTACTGTGCGCAGGCACTCCATGTAGAGGGGCCAATAGGTCATGTCTGCCTATAAGGCATCATTAGCTGAGCATGTTACTTAGAGGCACAAACAAATAGCCAATTCCATTCAGCTCACACTGCCTTTAAACACATGGAACCAATCCGTAATCTGACACTGCCTGCTGAGAAGAGGAATGGGTAAGCCAATCACATCGATATTGTACATAAATGCTATGCCCTATTATAATAGCAATTGCACATTTTATTTGTGGCAACTTGAGTTTCCTTAGCCTGGATTGACGTGCGTTCCTTTGCGATTCAGGCTCAAGAGGCTGCGGGAGGCGCCTTTTTCTCAGGAGGAGGCCGAGAGAGCTGCTGGCATGGGCTCATATCAGCGACCTGCCCAGGTGAAGGTGCAGACACAGCCAGTAGAGGAAGAGGAGGCCATGTGTGCAGAGACCACGGGTCCCACCCCAAAGAAGCAGAGCCGGAGCACTTAACCATCCTCAATAAACATGTTTAAGCAACCCGTGTCTAATGTTCCTGTGTACTGATACATAAGGCAGCTGTAACCACTAGTGGTTACAACCTACTGCTCTTTAAGGACTGTTTGGTGATGTTATTTGTTAAGGACCGTCTCGTCTTGCATTCACATGCATTGCAGCTCTTGAAATAGTTTTTCTTCCACCGAATTTGAAAACAATGGCTCGTTATTTTGGTTGCCAACCCCTGGACTCGTACATTTGGCATTTTTACCATTTCACGGGTGGGTGGTCTACTAGCTGGAGGCGATGTTGGCATCTGGTTTAAAAACATTTAAGTTATTTGCGAGGAATTTGGAACAGGTCACCTATACACAGGGCCTACTGTTACTCAGATCACATCACGGGATGTCTTAACGTTGGCCGTGAAGCAGACCAGTCATTTTGGTCAACACCCCCAGTATTAATTCTAGATTTGAAGCTTTCGTGACTGCAAGGATTCATATTCTTAGGTTTTTTCGGTAAAGTCACGTAGGTAAAAAATTCAAATTAATAAAAGTAAAATTAAAATAAAATTAAAATCACGACGTTTCGGAGGCAACAAGCTTGTCTTCAGGTGGAACCGTCACAGCACTATAGCTGTATCACTTGATACAGCTATGTCTCCGAAACGTCGTGATTTTTATTTTATTTTACATTTATTAATTTACATTTTTTACCTACGTGACTTTACCGAAAAAAACCTAAGAATATGAACCCCCAGTATTAACCAGGGTGGCCACTGGGCTTGTAAACGGCCAACTTCTGCAACAAGCCACAACCGCATAAACTTTTTTTTAACTCCATGGGTGTGCATGAATATAAATCCAGTGTCTGTGCAGCCATACACGGCACATTCATTCCTGTTGCCATCTAATCACCTTATGCGTGATGTTTCTTGCCGGCTCCACTGATTGGTGTAGTTATAATATTTTCAGTGGCACCAATAGGGAAACTGCCCCAGGCAACACCCAAGCCGCCGTTTTGCAGCAGCCTCAATTGAAGACATCGCATATCCACCCGGACCAATTAACCACCCACACACGATCTTTTGCATGATGTCGGCATTTTCTCAATTCCCACATTCGGGGAAATGAATCCAGCATGGGCAGGGGACGCTTGGCTAGAAGGGATGACGGCTGATGTTCGAGACCAGTGGTTGAATGGCAGCCAAGAGGTGGGGGGGAACACCCAAGAGGATGACAGCCGGAGATGGAGCCATGAGATCGGCTCGTTCACAGGAGATGGATTGTGGCGTCACATGAACTGTGATGGCTTCGGGAGGCCTCTATCCAGCAGTGGACAGACCACGGCAGATTTGTGATGAATTTAATAATGGAAAGGCTCACCTTTTTCTTGGTTCTTTCGGTAAGGTCACGTAGAAGGAAAATAAAAATAAAACATAAAATAATTCTCACGACGTTTCGGCCACAAGGCAAGCATCCGTCCTCAGGTGAAGAACAGGGCTGTCTCATCAACATCACAGACCTGTTCTTCACCTGAGGACGGCTGCTTGCCTTGTGGCCGAAACGTGAGAATTATTTTATTATGTTTTAATTTTATTATTTTCCTTCTACGTGACTTTACCGAAAGAACCAAGAAGATGAACCCCTGCAGTCACGAAAGCTTTAAATATATATTTAGTCTCGCCTTTGTTTTAAGAGCTTCAGGAGTGTCCTGCACTGTGCTGTTCTGAGCATTTCAAACGTGGGCAGTGGTTTTTGCAACGAGGAAGCAAACACGTATGTAGAACGTCTTTCGCACCACACGTAGTCAACCGTGCTAATCGCGAGGTATGGGAAGATGACACCCACACATGCAGGCTAAAAAAAGCCTACTTGCTTTACGACCACCGCTTAAAACAATTGGCAGTGCAGAAGAATTTCGATTTAAAGCTTTCGTGACTGCAGGGATTCATCTTCGTGGTTCTTTCGGTAAAGTCACGTAGAAGGGAAGTAATAAAATAATTTAAATAAAACAATAAAATAATATGTAATAAAATACAATATATTTATTTAATTACTTCCCTTCTACGTGACTTTACCGAAAGAACCAAGAAGATGAGTGCAAAAGAATTTAAGTTTGGCAAATCTACCATCTGCCGACCTTACTGGATTTAGTGGCGTGCGTGCACCACTCCACGCCTGGATCAGCAATGTCGACACCCTTCAACGTCGCCCACCCAGGACACAGTTAACATCACGGGAGCAGGGTGGGGGGGGGGCAAATGTAATGGCCACTTGTCCCCCCCCGGTCTTACCAGGGGAGACCAGCAGTAAGAACAAAGGGGGGAGGGGGGCCCCGGGTGTGCAAACATTTACAGCCACAGCAGCAGTAGCCAGTGTGCGAAATTTATTATCACCCGAGCGAGATGTAATTATGGCAGATGCCTTTCTGCAAGAGCCAACTGGTCCCGTTATTTGGGGGGGTGGAAAACAAAATCAATTAGGGCACAAAGCCTGCCAACTAAAAGAGTATAACACAGACGTCACACTGGAAACAAGAAAACAGGGAGCAGAGGAACCAAGTTGCAGTGTGTATTTTACACCGACCGTGAAAGCTGGCTTCAGATATAAAAATAAAAAGCATCGCTTTTGACTTGGCCACAAGTACCATTGCTCAGGACAACACAAATCGCCTCTTTTTCCACTGCACAACCGAGCCATGCCAGGTGCAGTACCACCGAGCCAGTCCGGCGTGATTCTCGAGGGCACCAGGGTTGTGTTTTTCCACTGCAGAAGCTGTGCTGCCGACGTGATGTGCTCCCAACGGTCGCACGCAAATGGACAAAGGGGGGCGCGTAAAGATGAGCACGGCGAACATTATTAACCCCGCACCTGGCCCTGCCTGGCCCCTCCCCCCCCCCCCCAGCCAGATTCAGATGTCGTGAGGGCATGATATCAAAATTTGGTTCCAGCTCGGCAAATAGCCAGTGGAGAAGAACCACCCGTACCATTAGGGTCCCGCGCCGTGGAAAGTGAGAAAATGGGAGTGCAAACGAGAAATTCAGGGAACCCAGAATATTTTAGCGCGGCATCCCTCGCAACTTGCGTTCTGTGTGACGTTGGCATCAATCATCGACGCATCAATCATCGACTTGAACGCAGAGGTGGAGTTGAGGCGTTGGGACGGAGGTGATGTTAGAGTAACGGGGCCAATTGGGTTTGTGGGGGTCTTGGGGCACAGGAAGACCCACTCCCCCCCCCAAAATGTCACGACACGGATTTGGTTAAATTTCGTCGACAGCGCGAGACATGACTAATGACGGAGATGGTGTTGTACCGCAGCATCTCTTCCCTCTGTTGCTGCGACATTATTAACTGCGGCTATCGCGCGTGGTCTCAAAGCCAGCTATTTCGCTTCGCTCCTAATCCTACCTCTCCCACAATCTTGTGACGATGTTACAGCAGCAGGCGGGGAAAATCTGTGGAGTGGCCATGTAACGATTCACCAAGCCTGCCCACCCTTCTCACTCCCCCGCTCAACTCGCAGCGGGCGGGCTTCTTGGCTGGCCGTCGAACAAAGACGGTTACCACATCGCGTGCGCTTTCAGATGCGCTTCTACGGCCGTCTGGAACGTTCTTCCCTTCCGAAATTAGGAAGCCACTGGAGCTATGCACTTTTAAATCTAGATTGGAAACATTTCTTTAGACCTGCATTTTGTGTTTAATGTGTTGTCCTTCCCCCGCACCTCCGATTAGTACGTACGGTGCGAAAGAAGTTCAACATACATGTTCATCTGGAGGGTGCGGGTGGGGTGTAGTATAACTGTCATAACGAAGATCAAATATGGGCATTTCAGTACATTCACAAACCTTACAGAAAACCGGCCGAATTGATCCGAGACGTGAGCCCAAACTTTGCAAATTATTAAAATCTGCCCCCAAAGGAGAAGCCTTGGGTCTGCCGAGGTGATGGCGTCATCACACGTGACGTCACCTCGCGGTGGCGACTCCCATCACGACGTGATCGTGCCAAATGAAACACTTTCCGAGGACGCGCTGCAGAGGCCTTGCACAGAATTCCACGCGTGCTGTGATTTATCAGAACTTATTTTGTCCTACGACATCGAAGACAGTCTCTCGTTTTTTCTCGGCGTCGTTCAACCCATTGGCACCGCAGATTCAACGGCACGCCATTCGCTTGAATCGTAAAACAGAGACCACCGCAACGAATTTTGGCGAGTGCATCGATCGCCAGCACCGATTTAAAATCGATTAATCGTTACATGCCCAGACACCGTCCACTCTCTGCCTACCCCCTAACACAGCCACTCTCATCCAGTGTAGGATATCTAATGGACTTTCTCTGTGGTTTGTGTATAGCACAATGCAATTTTCTGCACTGCCCAGACTTAAAAATGCAGGCTTGCGTAGGATACACACAGCGATACTTTGAGCCAAATTGCGATGCAATTCCGTTCGGTACTATACTGGGTAAACGTGCGCCGAGGGAGCGTGGCGACAAACGCACACATACATTCAATTTGCCTCTTCCCTGCAGTCCAAAAGAACGATTTTCCCTTCGGTTAAGCACCGGCTTACAATAATTAACTTCGGCCATTGTAGAAAGAAAAGAAAAATTACAGAAAAAAAGAGACATGGCTTCGGGAGGCAGGGTTCCTCTCACTGCAGACCCCCAGCACGGTGCAGCTTTCCGCTTTCATCGGTTCTCTGCGTGGAAATGCAATTTCAGATCGTCTGCACGCTACACGCTCCAGATTATTGGCAAACAAGCCGGTGTGACACACCACAGGTTCAGTTACGCGAGAGGTCTCGTGTGTATGCGTCGTCAATATGCACTTCCCATGCAGTACACACAAAGGCAACCTGGCAGCAGGGGGGGGGGGGGGACACTCCGACCCCCCCCCCCCCCAGTGGCAGCTGTCCCCGTGTGGCCCCAGGGTGAACGCCAGTGTTACAGTGGTGATGCTGTGTGTGTGTGGAGTGGTGGGGGAGCGGTTAGCGTAGCTTGCACGACGAACCTGGCGACACGAGTTTTATTCCTGCTCACGGCCGCCACCGCCAGTGACGATAACCTGAACCGGTCCTGGGCCTCCCCTAGGTCAACTCGGCCTCCAGTGTACCTGGTACAGTGTGTAAACATCGCCACTAGGGAGACCGACGGCCCGGCAGTGGTGCCAGCCGCCCACCACCCCCTCATACTGCACACAGGTGCTCGCCAACGGCACTTGCTCCTACAGTCTGTTAAGGCTATACGGGGGATCTTTAGTCTTGGGAGCGGTGGTGTTGGGCGAGTGACATCTGAAAAACGCTGCAGGTAAACTCAACTTCAAACGAGTATCGGCATTGGGGAAACAAAGGTGACCGTGCCACGGTGCTGGGGACAGCGATGACTCGTGCACCCTGCCGGTCTTAACAGCACTGTCGATGTACATCCCCACACGATGGAGAGGGCGCCGATTGAATAAACACGAGAGAAGCGTGTGCTTGTGTAACACGCCGATTCAAAGACTGTGTGTGTACGTGTTACAAACTAAGTTGATGCGCGTGTTTGTCCCGTGTGACATCGGTATCTCCAGTTTCAATTAAACATGGCGATCGTTGTAGCCGCACGCGCATTCACACGCAACAGAGTGCTCCGTCGTTGTGCGGGCCCTTGTTTAGCAATCATCAGGCAAGTGCAGCACGTTTAATTTGGACCGGGACCAAGATCAACCGCTAAAAACCCGCTTCCGCCCTAATGACACGGTCAGATTGAAAAACTCGTTTCTGCAGAACTGCTTTTTGCGTTTAGTTTGTTGTCCTTCCCCCCCCCGCTCCCCCGCACCTTCCGATCAGCAAGGGTGTCTACGTACGGTGCGAGAGAAGAAACGCGCACACGCACACACACACGTGCTCAACGCAAGTACCCTCTCGTGTCGGCAAGCGATAACGTTTCCGTCAAAAAGGTGTTGTGGCGCTCCGGCCGTTGCCCACTAGGTAGCGCTTTGGTACGAGTCGATTGCGGCCTGGCATTTAGAGACAATTCCGTTATCACAACTGGTTTTCTTTTTTCCGTTTCTCTCAAATCGGGTAAAAACTGGTATGCAAAAAAAACCACGCTATTTTACACAGTTCCAAACGACAAAGGCGCGGCGCAAGGCTTAGACTGTACACGATCCAAAACCAATAAGCGGGGGGGGGGGGGGGGGCCCACGTCGCACCCACCAGGCAAGGGGAGACCCAATCACCACCGCCGCCACATCCACCGACCCCACCGCCCCCCTTTGCGATACCGCCGCTCCCCCACAGGGATGGCATCGCTCACGGACCACACCGCCGATCCTGAAACGCGCCACGAGAATGATTCATCGGTCGCGTTCACACAAAGAACACTTCCGAGGTGCGCGCTCACCAGGCAGGTAAAAGGTACAAAGTTTAAGCAAATGTGCAGCCCCGCAATTGCTTGCCGATGCCACCACCGCTGGCGGAAGGTGCCTCTTCCCCCACTAGACGGGAGATGGAGAGACCACCCTCTGGCTCTTCCACGACATCTTGGAAGAGGTGATAGTACCCACACTTTACCCCACCACACGTGGCCTGCTGATCGGCTGACTGCTGTGGACCGATTTATACTGTCGCTGGGTGGAATGGCGGGCAGGAGAGGGGGTGGGGCGGGAATGGGGGAGGGGGGGGAGATGGGGTAGGTGTTTAAGAAACTTTCGCCATTGATTCAACCGCTGAGTGATGGGACTCAAGCTGTCGGGCTGTGCAGCTTCTCACTGGTACGTCAAGAAAACCACGGGGGAGGGGTATTGTCGAGCGAGTTTGTAGTTGGCAGTGTGCGTCACTGAGGGGTATGTATGGCTGTTATACGTTCTCTCCTCGGCAATGGCACTACTTTAGTATCACAATCCACTTGGTATGTACAAGGTGAAGGCTGTCAAAATCACATATTCGTTTTTTGCTTTTGCCAAAAAAGGTTCCCGCTGCTCAGACGCGTGCCAGTCGCACGCCGCGCGTAACCAAACGCGTCGCTCGCTGCTCGTCCGCCCAGTAGCAGCCGGCTGTCACGCGCCGCCCCTCCGCACACCGCGGCCTCAGCGGAAATGCCCGTTTTTGATCGTTTCCAAAAAAAAAATAGAGTCTCCAAACAATTTTACTTATTAAACGTTCACCACCGTGTCGCCGCTACCACCCGATGAGGCTCGCCTTGGCGCGCTCCGACATCTTGCGAACCCGGCCCCTGCTTGACATGCCGAGGCTGATGTCATCGCTCGCGAAGCCTTCACTGGCGTCGCCCGCAGGGAACTCGCCCTCCTCCGAGCCCTCGTCCTCCTCCGAGCCCTCTTCCACGGCCACCCTCCTCCTCCTCCTTCTCTCCGCCCCCACGTCCGCTACATCTGACCCATCCGACCCGCCCGACCCGCCCGACCCGCCCGACCCTTCGGAGCCATCGGAGCCTTCCGAGCCGTCCGATTCGTCGGACCCATCCGAGCCGTCCCCTTGATCGTCCACATAGCGGATCGTTCGCTTGCCCTGGTTTCGCGTCCGCATCGAGCCCCTGCCCCTCTTGGAGGCCGGCGCCGTCCCGCGGCCCGCTGGCGAGTCCCTCCGTGGCCTCTTCCGCGCGCGGCCCCGCGTTCGCCTGCCCGAGCTGGGCGTCGCCGCCGCATCAGCCTCCGCGGCCACCTCCGCCGCCGCGGCCACCGCCGTTTCGGTCTCCGCGGCCGCGCCCGCCACGGGCTGGGCCCAGCGGCCTGGAACGCCGCGCCTCCGCTTGGGCGGGCGGCCCACGGGCCTCTTGGCGACGCCGCGCACGGCGTTGGCGCGCGTGACGGGGCGGGGCGCCCGACTCGCCCGGGTTCGGCCCGGCCCCCGGCGGGCGCCGCTGCAGACGCTGCCGCCGTCGTCGAAGTCGCTGCCGCTGTCGGACGACGGCGACGGCGAGTCGGGGCCGGAGATCACGTCCAGGTGGTCGTCGGAGCCGTCCTCGCGGCGGTCCCCCCCACGCCCCTTCTCGACGCCGTCTTTCTTCCCGTCGTCGTTGGCTTTCTTCTTCGCCGCTGCGTCGCCCGCCCGCCCGTCGTCGTCGTCGTCGTCGTCCGTGTCGTCGCTCGACTCGGACTCGCTGCTCGGGAGACGCTTGGCGGGTGTGGCGCGCGCGGAGGAGGCGGCGGCGGAGGAGGCGCGGGGCCTCCGCGAGCCGTGGCCGTTGAGCCGCCTCTCTCCTCCGCCTCCACACGACCGATAAACACCACCAGGCAACGAGCGAGTGGGAGAGTTAGCGGGGGCATGAGTGGTGGGGGAGGGTAACGATGGTGAATGAGTCAGAGTGGGCAGGGAGTGAGTGCCCAACGAAGCGAGCAAGCCAGCGAATTAGCGTGCAAGTGAGCGAGCGGGCGAACGGACAGGAAAGTAAGTCAAGCTGGTTGGCAGGGGCTTGCACAAGCGAGGGTTTCGGAAGACCCGACTTGCGGAAATCCGACCTTACGGAAATGTTCTCATTAATCACGTAAAAAAAAAATCTATATGCAGAAATGTTTGCGTTAGTTACATAACCGCAAGTAGTGCAGCGCGGTGAGGTTGTGGATGAATACCGTGGAGCGAGGTGGGAAAAGCCTTACGCCTCTCGCATGAACTTCACGAGGATTAAGGTAAATGGAATTTTTCGTAGTGTTATGTAATTGTTTGTTTTGTATGTTTAGAACGACCTTTTTTCCCCCATGTTTATTGCTAGTTTTCTTCATTTTAAGTTTATTTCAGGAGTTATTTACTCTAATTACTTTCGATTGCTCATGGGTCTCGGCCAACAGTGATCAAACATTCGGAAGCGACTGCTTTCTGTTAACAATTAAAATTAAAATGTTTCGTGGTATTCATAAACAATTAGATGCAATGTTCCATACAGGTAGCGATAGAAAACAGATGACAGCGCGATAGAGTACACAGAAAAATAACTCCGACTATGCGATTTTATCGTTGAATTCGGGGGAAAATTGTTCAGTTTCCGACATCCAAAAAATTCGGGTTTATGTATCGTTCTCAGGAACCTAACCTTTCCGTAAACCGGCGACCGTCTGTGTATGAATGAGCGAGCGGGTAGGCACACGAACGAGCGAGCTATGCGGACGGTGCTCACCGTCGGCGAGCTCTGGCTTGCCAGCTCCTGATCGCCGTCCGGGCCGGTGCCGACGCTTGCCACTCGCGTTCTCCGCCTTCCCGTGCGTCGTCGTCGCTTTTGACGACGACGATGACGACGACGATGAAGACGATGACGACGACGAGGATGACGACGACGACACATCGGCACTTTTCCTCTTGCTGTTGCACACCGGGGGCCGCGAGCCCTCGTCCTCCGCACCCCCTGGCAGCGCACACCGGAACACGCGGTGAGCGGGGCGCCCACGGCGGCCGATGGGGGCAGCGCCAGCTCTTCCGTTGGTCACTGGACACGGGACGACAACCACGAGTCACCAAAACGGGAGCCTGGCGGCGGCACGCAAGGCGAGTCCGAGCTGGAGCCGTTTAGACCGAGTCCTGTTTAGTTTGGTTGTCTTTCGCCGTACGGTGCGAAATACGTTCAATATACGTACACGCATACCCCTAAACAGACTACTAACCCTATGCATCCCCCGAATCTTACCACTAACTTTAAACCTACCGCTAACCTTAACCGTTTCACTAACACAAACCAAAAGCATGCCCTGAACCATGCCACCAACCCTAACCACTAACCCAGAGTCTAGCATTTTCGCAGGGCTGTCACTCACTGCTCATGCAACATACGTGACTGGGCACACAAGGCAGGAGGGTTGTTGCAGGCAAGGACAGGGTGCAAACACGAAAGCAACGCGGCGCCAGAGTGCAGACCGGTTCGGGTGTGCGGCATTTACTGGGCGTGGAGGACACAGGCTGGACTTGGGCCGTGCGGACCAAACCACGGCGCCACCACTCACCAGCCGCAGTGGCCGCGACCCCGCGACCCTTGCCTCCTCGCGTCGTCATCCCCACCGCCGACGAAGACGTTGACGACGATGACGACGACATCATGGCTGCTCCGCCCGCCTCCGCCGAGGAGCGGCCGGGTCGGCCGGGGACCTCGCTGGTCCTCCCCGAGGCGGCGGTGGCCGCCCCCTTGCCCGCCGCTCCGCCGTGCGACATCATGGCCGCCCCTGAAGACGAAGACGATGGCCGGGCAGAGGCCTGCACTCCCTCGACATCGTCAAGAGGAGAGTGACATTACTACTCTGCCACGTGTGTGTGTGGTGCATGTGTGCGCGATTGTCGTGTAGCGGTTAGCGCGCTGCGCTACGAACCCGGCGACCAGAGTTCGATTCTCGCTCACGGCCAATACAAATGACGATTATCTGAACCGGTCCTGGGCCTCCCACAAGGCCAAATCGGCCTCAAGTAGCACCGAGTGCGGTGTGTAAATGTCGTTTGCCGTGCCGGCCTTCATATGTGCTACTCGCTAACAGCACTTGTCTCAATAGTCTATAAAAAAAAAGGCTGTACAGGGGATCTTTGTCTGTCTGTGCGCGCTTGTAGAGTGGAGGTCACGTACCATCCCAGCGACGTCTGATGACGATGAGGATGACGACGACGACGATGACGACGACGCGTCGTTCGGGTTCCTCGTCTGGGCCTTCACACGTTTCCTGACCTCCGGGCTGGAGTCACACGCGCAGGTACATTTGGAATTTGAATGCGGTTTTACCCACCTATGGCCAGGAGGCACAGAAGTGCACGAGAAGCAGACAATACACAAGCAGCGTGGACGTGCAGGAAAAGCACACACACACACACACACGGCATACCTGGAATTGCGGCTGCTGGAGCCAGACCGGACGTGCTTGGCACGCTTCCCGCGGCAGGCGGCGCGCTCCCGCCGCTCGTGGTAGCGCAGCGCCGACTTGTACTCGGAGACGATGCCGCGGATGTGCTCTTCAAAGAGCGCCGACAGACGCAGCGTCATGCCGTAGATCTGAGCCATGCACACGGACGAAGAGTTGTTGCGGCCGGGTTGCGATTTCAGGAGGAGCACGAGGAGGATCGGGAGGGCGGCCCACATCACGTCCACCGGGAAACTCCGGGGTAAAGAAAAAACACGTTCACCACGCACACCAGCTCACAAAAGACAAAGATCCCCCCCGCCGTGTAGCCTTAACAGACTCTTGGGGCGAGTGCTGTTAGTGCGTAGCAACCTATGAAGGACCAGAATTGCAGTGTGGCCATGTTCACGCATCGCACCGTGTACTAATTTGAGGCCGAGTCGACCTAGGGGAAACGCCCAGGAACGGGTCAGATTTTCACCACCGTTTATGGTCGTTGAGCGGGGATCACAGGTCGCCGGGTTCTTAGCGCAGCGCGTGAACCACTCCGCCACCGCTCCCCACACACGCACGGAGAGAGAGGAGGGGTCCATTAAACATCAATCAGCTTTTATTTATTATTACAATCAGCACGTTTGTTTGCCCAGGAAAGTCTAACCCAAGTCACGCTTTTCTCTTTTTCAGGAGGGCGTCCCTCAAATTTTCCACGGGTGGCGGGCGATGACCGCCGGGTATATTCCGACCGTGTAACTCGCGGTGCGATTTTTGTTCAAAATGTAACAAATTTGGCCAGTGACACCGGCCGCACAATTCGCCCCCCTCTTGCGAATGGCGTCACGGGATCTTTAACGTCCCACTGCAAGTGAAGCAGACAGACTGCACGTAGTCGGAGGAGTATTTTTAACGGTTAACACACACCGCAGTATTACGTACCTATGTATGTAGAAGGTCTTCCGCACCCGTACGCAAGCCAACCATGCTAAATCGTAGGTGCAAAATCACGGCGAACAAACACACGCTAGCGGCCAGGCCAGGCCAGGCTACGTCACAACCCCAGGGAGACGTGTAACTGCTAACCCACCCGAGACTTCTTGTTGGGCGTGTAGGCCTTGGCGTTGGAAAAGATGAGGCGCACGTCCTTGCAGAAGTCGACGGGGTCGCGGTACGTGTCCTCCCGCAGACGTTCTCGCACCGTGCCCAGGTCCATGGGCGTCGGGATGATGGTGCGATAGTCCTGCAGCCAGCGCGCAACCACACGGATAATGGTTAAAGGAAAGCCCCCCACCCCACCCCTCCACCCACACCACCTCGGCAAGAACCACGTACAGGAAAACTTCCCAAAGCCAGGCTAAGCCAGAATTTAGGGTAAGCTTCCCCACAATTAAAATAATGATTGTATTTCTGTGTATATAACAGCATCATCCGTGGCAGTTGCATCTCCAAATGCTGTAGAATTTGTATCATGTGCAGTTTTTATGACGTAGGCGTGGAAAACTACAAGCTAAAAGGTTGCCAGAAACTGGTTGCCATTAATTCGAGATTTGAAGCTTTCGTGACTGCAAGGATTCGTACTCTTAGGTTTTTTCGGTAAAGTCACGTAGGTAAAAATAAATAATACAAATAATAGAAAATAATAAATCACGACGTTTCGGAGGCAACACAGGCCTCCGTCATCAGGTGGGACCGTCACAGCTAATACAGTAAATTTTAGCTGTGACGGTTCCACCTGATGACGGAGACTTGTGTTGCCTCTGAAACGTCGTGATTTATTATTTTATTTCTATTATTATTATATTATTTATTTTTTCCTACGTGACTTTACCGAAAAAACCTAAGAGTATATGGTTGCCGTTAATTGCCCAAAGCTCTGTGATCCGACGTCATCCTGAGTACGATTGTTTAAGGGTGTTTGAAATTCATTATTATTACATTGCGATGGTTGGTCAACTAAAATAAACTCCAACCGAAATACTTTGGTATATACAGCTGAGTGAATGTCAACCCCGAGGCCGATGTATCCATGTGTTAAAAGCCACGCGACGGCTTTAGCTTTGGAAGCCGGCGATCCGGATCTGATCGGCCGTCGTGGGTCACGCGCTTTCGATTCAGCCACGGTGGCAAGATGTTAACTCCCTCACCCGGTATGCAGAAGGTCGTGGGGGTTCAACCCAGACCCCGACGCCTGTATAATTCATGTGCATGTTCTTATCGTGTTCGCGTGGAATTTTCTCTGGGTCCTGCGGTTCTCAACGTGCGATTGGAGAATTTGTGGCCAGGCTGCTATTTGTGGGTAGGTCGGCTTCTGACAGAGAGCTATAGAGCTCAGCTGGGCCTCGCCTGGTTCCGTTACCGTCTGCACGCTCGCGGAACCGGGCACGCGCACAATAGGAGGGCGCGGCGTGCATACGCGAACGGCCGATTCTAAAGCCGTACGCCCACCAGGCACAGCATGGGAAACGCGAAGTAAATAAACAGAAAATGACGACGGTGGTGGTGGCGGTGGTGACGGCGGGACTGCGTAGGTACCGGGTACACGATGGGGTCCACGGGCTGGCGGAACGGCTCCGAGTCCTCGCGCTCCAGGATGACGCTCACCAGCTGCCTGCACTGCTGCTTCCACGCCGCAATAGTTGTAGGCCGACTCGCGCCGGTAGCGCTGCGTGCGGCGCTTCTGCCAGGGGTTAGAGAGGGGGGGGGGGAGGGAGGGAGGGAAGGGACAGCACGTTTACAAAGCGAACGACGCTCGTTATCAAAAACCCGAAACTCAGGGGTCGGGGAACCTTCACCCGACCGAGGTCGAAATGGGATTTCTTGGATGACACCACTGGCAGTGGACAGTCACTTCCGTACCTGTGGCTTGCTGCACTGACCACGGTGTAGTGGTGCAAGTGACTTGCCGCGCTGACATTGGAAACAGTGTAGTTGCCTGCATGCGAGTTTATTTGCATTTGCATGTGCGCCGGCTAGTATGCGCGCTTTGGTGTGCGTCTGTATGCGAGCGTGGGTGTGTCTGTGAGTAAGCGTGGGGAGTGGTCGAGCAGCATACAGTGCACTGCGCTTACGAACCCAGCGACCCGTGTTAGATTCCCACTCACGACTAATAATTGTGGCAAAAGTCTGAACCGGTGCTGGGCCTCCTCTAGGTCGACTCAGCCTGAAATGAGTACTTGGTGTGGTGTTGTTAAGGCTACACGGGGGATCTTTGTCTTTATGAGGTGGTGGTGTACGTGGTGAACGTGTTTTACCCGGAGTCTCCCGGTGGACGTGCTGGGAGCTTCCCGATCCTCCTCGTGCTCCTCCTGAAATCACAATCCAGTCACAACAAAGCACGGGCAGCACACGCACACACACGCACGCACCCACCACCCACGCACGCACGCACACACACACACGCACCCACGCATGCGCACACACACACACGCATACCCACCCGAACGCACGCGAACGCACACGCACCAACCACACGAAGCAGCTTAATAGACAAGCGAGCAGGCAGATCAACGCAAAAGCAAGCCGGTTGAGTGAGTGGGTGAGTAAGCGTGTAGATGGACTCGTGCGCAGTGGGGGGTGGGACGGCAGAGCGGGACAGCCGGGAGAGCCTGGCAAGCGAGCAACGAGCAGTTGCGGTCGAGCGAGCAGCTGGCCAGGTGATATCGTCCCAACATCCCACTGTGCCCCACACGGGTGACACGCACACACCTCATCATCAGGGCTGACCTCCGACTCCTCCTCCGGTTCGTCCTTCTTGCGAGCGTTGTGCAGAGTGAGGATGTCCGTGCAGCTCGAATCCCTGCGATTGAGCGACAGGATGAGCGCGAGGAAGCAAGAGACGACGCGAGAGACGACGGCCTTCAATATCAAAACACAAATTACGCGGAGGCGGCCGGGCGGCCAGACAGTGGCGCATGCTGCTAGAGGAGACTCACTTGATGAAGTGCAGCAGCAGGTCGCTGACGTGCTTGGCCGACTTCACGATGGGGCTACCGGGCTCGTTGAAGGCGCGGGCGTTGTGCTCGATGTATCGCACCTCCCACATCAGCGACGACAAACGTCTGCGGGCGGGCGAGCGAGCAAGCGGGTCGCCAGTTAAAATACAGGGCGTCGTACCGATTGCTGTTCCGGAGCCAGGCTTCCACGGTTCGGTTCCGTAGCGCTGCCGATTGCACACGCAGTTCATGCGGTACAAAATGAAGTCCATAATACCAAGTCGGTGCAGAATAACGCCATGCACAATAGCCACGTCACACCCACAGTTTTTGTTTTTGTCCTGCAGTTGCTGAAGTGAGTTACACGAATCAATTGCTAACGATGACTATACCAGCAGAACCCCTCTTAACAACCACCCCTGTTATTGACTAATCGCTTAACGACGGGCCTCCAGAGCCCAATGTCTTCGCTTCACGACCATTCCCCTGTTAATTATGGGCTTACGACGAGCACACGACCGCTAATTTCGGCCAATCGGCAAGCTTAAAAGTGGTCTGACCAGGCCTCGGCCAATCTGCGACGTCCATTCATGAGCATTGGAGCATTGTTTACATTCACTTTGAAGTGGAAACATCTACTCGCTTAACGAGCAAATCACTTAACGACCCGTTTCGTGGAACCAATTCCCTTCGTTAAGAGGGGTTTCTACTGTACAGCGAGCGAGCAAGAGTACAACCAGCAGGGAGACGGAGCGATGAGATCGGTTCGTGTGCGGAATGATGGGGTGGGAGGCCTTCATCCAGCGTGGACAGACAATGGCTGAGGATGATTAACTAAAATGACAATACTCCTCCCCCTCCACATCAAAATGTTAGGTGTTTTTTTTCTTCACATCCCCATCAGCCACACAGCCTTCTGGGAGTGAATATTTTTCAGCAGTGTTGGTTTAATACGAGAAATCTCTGTGCCAGTTTCCACATTCCGTGTCTCAACACCAATGCAATTGGCGATCTTGGTTGATGGTCACCCAACTCATTAACCTCAAAGCAGCTGATGTAATCACGGGGCAACTGAAACCCGGACTCGAACCCAGGCGCTCTGCCCTCTGAGCCACCCCTGGTTAGGTGCCGGTTCAGCAGCCCCTCAGACCAAGTTGACCGGCCGCCCAAACCCATAACCCCCGTCGCCAGTTGGCTCAAGGTGACATTTGAACGAACCTGTAGAAGCCGTTATCCAGCCTCTTGCGGATGGTGCTGAGGTCGGTGAGGTAGGCGATCACGGTGCAGTAGAGGGGGTACGCCTGCAGGTCCACGGGGGTCGCAAACTGTGCCGTCACGTCTGCACCACGAGACGCAAGAACGGACAAGGTTGACGCCGTGCGCACCGATGCCGTTAACCGGCACGGCAGCGGCAAACTCTTTGGCAGGGGTTCAAAATGGAACCGGTGCCGTGTTAAGGGGATGACGGAGGCCCCGGCGGTCCGAGCTCGCTAGCCGGCCACAGCTAACAGCGGTGCGAGTGGTACCCGAACCGGACCTGGGCACCCACCCCTCCCCCTCCTTCACCAACGCGCCATGAAGAGCGTGAAGTTTAGTCAAGCGACCACCACGACAACCTGCACGGTTGCGGTGAGGCCTTCGTTCAGCACAGGACTGGCAAAGGGCCGATGGGGGTCACCAGGTGGTGGTGTCGGCAGTGGTGTCGGCAGTGGTGTCGGCAGTGGTGTCGGCAGTGGTGTCGGCAGTGGTGTCGGCAGTGGTGTCGGCAGTGGTGTCGGCAGTGGTGTCGGCAGTGGTGTCGGCAGTGGTGTCGGCAGTGGTGTCGGCAGTGGTGTCGGCAGTGGTGTCGGCAGTGGTGTCGGCAGTGGTGTCGGCAGTGGTGTCGGCAGTGGTGTCGGCAGTGGTGTCGGCAGTGGTGTCGGCAGTGGTGTCGGCAGTGGTGTCGGCAGTGGTGTCGGCAGTGGTGTCGGCAGTGGTGTCGGCAGTGGTGTCGGCAGTGGTGTCGGCAGTGGTGTCGGCAGTGGTGTCGGCAGTGGTGTCGGCAGTGGTGTCGGCAGTGGTGTCGGCAGTGGTGTCGGCAGTGGTGTCGGCAGTGGTGTCGGCAGTGGTGTCGGCAGTGGTGTCGGCAGTGGTGTCGGCAGTGGTGTCGGCCACCGTGCTGAATGCGGGGACCGTGTCGAGTATTGCCGTCTGTGCCTACGGCGGATGTCGTGTAAGTGCGAGTGCTGGACGCGATGGCGGCATCAACGGTTGATGTCAATGTCACCCGTGTTGGTGCGCCGTGCGTATTATTGCGGTGGCGTACCCAGCGTCATCAGCTGGTCGAGGGCGGCAGGTGATGCGGTCGCGCTGCTGCCCGCGGGGCTCCGAGCCCCACTCGCCGTCCTGCGGGCGGTAGAGCAGAGACTCGCGCTCCTCGCTCGTCAGCGGCACGCTGGAGCCCGGCTCGGGGGGCGGTCGCGCTGCGGGGACACAGCAATGGGGGAGAGAGGGGAGGTGGGAGGGCGGGTGAGGTTAGCCACACCAGCAGGCATGAAGAGCAGCAGATAGACACGTGGAGATTTTGGCATCGAATCGGCGTGGGCCAATTCGTGAGCTTCAAGCAACGTCCTGGGGCACCTGATCAACAAGCCCGCCCACCACTGCCCGGTCTCCCGCAACACACAGCTCATCAGCAACCCCACCACCACACTGGCCGGCTTCCACAACACGCAGATCATCAGCGAGCCCACCGCCACCACCCTGCCAGGCTTCCATCTTCCGCGGAAACAATGTGCAGCACTTATTCAGTTCCACACGTGGACGATGTGGACACACAAATGCACAAGTGGACACTCCCCTGTTTGCAACTGTGGCGACGATCACAAACGATGGAGCATACAACTTTGCACTGCCCCAAGTATGAATCTGAAAGCAGTGGTTGAGTGGTAGGTGAGCGAGTGAGCAGACGAGACGGTGGGTCGGAGGTTGGGTGGGTGGATCTGCAATTCACCAACACTCCGAGGGATTGAACAACCATCCAAATAACTTGGAATCTCTAATAATTGCTCTTCATAGGCCATAGGAAATTATCATCACAAATGTACAATGCAGAGCTGATGAGGGCCTCCCAATGTTGTCTGTCGTAAGGGAGAGGGGGGGGGGGTTTATATGACCATACTTCATCACACTGGTCAGTGCAGGTTGGTGAAAAGGAGGGGGGGCAAGGTTCGGAACTCCCAGGGGTGGAGGGGATACGTACCATCGTCCGGAATCACCTCCATGTCCCACGGGCTCATGCGCTCCGTCTCCTCGTTGTCCCAGCTGGGACAAGACAAACCGCAGACAACGGCGAGTTGAGTTAGACTCGACAACGGGGGGGGGGGGGGGGAGGCAGACACAGTGAACATGCTTCAACACAAGCCTTAGACTTGGCTCTCGGACCGACTTAGACTGCGATTATGCGTGTAAAACTTTACAGCATCACGATTCGATGCCCTCGTCATCAGACCACTGCTGGTTGAAGGCCTCTATAACCCCACGCCATGTCAGTCCTAGGCGGGTTGTTTGACCATACCTCACCCCAGTGGTCAGTGACAAGTTGATAGGGGGCTTGGGGGGGGGGGGCACAGGACAAGTTCAGACATTACCCTCCACTGATGTCAGTCGTGATGGTCCAAATTTAATTTGTCACATGAGATAATCACACTGCAAATTTGCTCAACTGAGATGACAAGGCAACATCGCCTCCTCTCCTCTGCTGGACTAGGTCTGTGACACAGGGCACCTTCCTCCTACGTGACCTTTTGTCCTTCCACCCCGTACCTCCCGGTTAGCATGGTTGGCTAAGTGCGGTGCGAAAGAAGTTCAACATACGTACACGACAGCCCTGCGCCATGATAACGATAGCGTAATACTGTCAAGGAAGGGGTCAACTCCACCGGCTCTACTCTCTACTGGGTGAACCCCCCCCCTCACCCACCACACGGCGTAGCACTGGAAGGGGCTGTCCGGGTACTGCGCCTGAAAGGGTTCTTGCCGCAGCACCGTGCCATACCACCACGCCTCGTCGATCACCGCGCGGAACCGGTCCCCTGCGATCGCACACGCACGCACAACGCCGCACCACGTGCTTGGTGATCACAGATGGTATCTCCCCTCGCCTGGTACGCAGGATGTCGTGGGTTCAAAACCCAGACCCTGGCGATGGCTGTTGTTGTATATTTGAGTCCTCCAAGTGTTTTCTCTCGTGGTCACGTGGATTTTTCTACTGGTGTTGCTGCTATAAATTACGGCGTGCGATGATGATATCAGCCACTCGGATGATGAGCTATCACCATGTGTGGCCAGGTCACCTCGGAAAAAGAGCTCATAGCTCAGTGAGCTTTACCTGGCAAAATAGTTTAGCTTAAAAATGAAATAGATAACCTAGCGAAGGCCCAGGATCAAAAATCATGAGAATAATAATTCTATTCATAAAGGGCCTTTCATCAAGTATCTTAAGAGTGCTGTACAAAACGTAGCACTCGGCATAAAAACAACCGATCTTAGCCGTGGCCAGAATTCCTTCTCGGATCGCCAGGTTTCAGAGAGCGTCTGCACTAACCGTGGCGCCTTCACGCCACTCACATGGGCGCGAGCGAGCGAGCGTGCAGACACAAGCGTGAGCAAGCGTGTAAACGTGAGCGTCGGCAGACTGGACTTCACGCAACACCGTACAAACTGAAATGTTCAGGGGAGGGGGGAGGGGGAACGTCGCAACTGTTGTTTCTCGACGAGCGTGGTCCTCGCTTACCAACTTGCCAGTTGCGAGCGCGCGCCTCGTCGTACGTCTGCCTCAGCACCAGGAAGTCGATGACGTCTGGCATGTCGTGGTACCTGTGGGCGGACAGCAAGACCGGGCGGTGGGGGAGACGGGGGAAATCTTTCAGCTCGCGAACTCGAACCTCATCGCGGCTTCATCGCCAAGATGCTCGCCCGGAGCACGTATTTCGCCAACTCCCCCGCATCGCCCCCGGCCAGGCCCCGAGCTCACTTGATGGCGAACGCTCCGCCCGTCAGCTTCCCCGTGTCGGCGTCCAGGAAGGCAAGCTTCAGGCAGCACAACGTCGGAGGCCCAACCTCGTACTTGATGCCGACGATCTTCACCAGCTCCTGCTCCTGCGAGGAACAAACACGGGGGGGCGGGGCGGGGCGGGACACTCATCCTCTTGTACGCACGAGGCGGCTTGAAGATGAAGCCAGCCAGGGTGGGGGGGCAGTGCCAGGCCAGCCTCGCACGGCTCAGAGGAGGCGCCAGCGTTGATTTTACAACGCAATACCGACTAGCGATAATGCACGACGTAAATGATTTTCCTCACTGGCTCCCCCCGCCCCGAGCAAGATTCAGATGTCTTGCGAGGCCAGGGTATCACGAGTTTGATTCTGGCTCAGAAAAACAGCCAATGGAAAACTACCCGTACCGTGAGGGCCCACCGGTAAGGTGGCGTGACTTGGGTGTGACGAGAGAAAAGGGGGTACAAATCTCATCTTATTGGAATTTATATAGCGCCTTAACCAAGATGCTTTGCAGAGAATTAAGAATGGCACATGAATGCAATGGTGGGGATGAAGTGAATACAATATACAAGAGGAGGTAATGGGCGAATCTGTGATGCGTGAATTACATAAGTAAAATTTATTACAATAAATTATGTTGAATGGACTGAATGAATGGAGAATGAGTGGTGGCCATGTTATGAGAATATGAAGAGATAATAGTAACGGTGACGACGAGGGGGAGAGATTAAGGGATCGTGGGGCGAGCTCGGTAAAATAAGCGATTGTAGGGAGGAGCGGAAACTAGTGAGCGAAAGATGACCACTTAATCATATAACGTGGCAGCAGGGGGCCAGGCAGACGAACCCGCAGCTGGATCTTGTGCCAGGGCTGCTTGCGGGGGTTGATGCGCTGCACTTTGTTGCGCTTTGCAGCCTCCACGTACGCCTCGTGGCCCTGTCGAAAGTACATCACCTGCCGGAAAAGAGGGCGGTGAGGTGGAGGTAGAGGGCAGACGCGAGGCACGGACGACGAGACGGTGGAGGAGGCCGACAGGAAAGCGCACGCAGATGGAATCCGAGACAAGATCGTGGGCTATTTCACGTTCGAATTGGATGTCAACTTATTTTACTATTTAACAAAAAAAAATACTAGGTAAAACCGGGTGGGTGAGACGGGCCATATTGTGTCACGAGCGATGAGCCCGACACCGTCAAGATCCTGGGACCAGGACCAGGATTTGGATCCAAGTTTCAGCCGCCCGTCACTAAACAAACCGGCTTCACGGCTGTCGCGAGTCACTGGTCTCAGCCCGATCACAATTGACTTGCATAGTCACCACTGGCTTACATCCGCACACCCCTGCCTCGTGTTCTGCGCGTCAGACTTGTGTCAGCAAATTCCCTGCACGATTTCTGCTCGTGGCTGTAAATTAGGATTTTGTATATGTATATATAAACTTAAAATGATGATTACTATTACAAACAGTCTCACAGGCTCATAGATTTAATCTGAGAGAAGAATCCAACTGATTTACGGCCAAACCGTTGAGTCAACTCCGATTATCCGTGGGAGGATGTTCAAGCATGCGGATTAAACCGAGCTTGCAATAAAAATAATCACATTTTTATTTACACAGGCCCTGGTATGATTATCAAGATGCTCCTCACTCATCAGCGGGGTCAGAGACTCTGCGTCAACGTGACCGCAACCACGTCGACAAGTAAATAGACGACTTTAAAAAACACAATAACCAATAAATTATAATATTATATGCGAATATATCGCCCAATTTGCATTTGTTTCACATTATCCGGGCCAACTCTCCCCGAATTACTCCGATAATCGTTGACAATAATAACAATGATGATGATCATCATTATCATCATCATGACAAAAACGATGATGATGATGTGACTGCGCCCCCTCTCACCTCGTCGCCCATCTGCGGCACGAAGGGGCAGCGCTGTGGCACCGTGTGCGTGACCCACACAGACGGCAGCCACTCCTCGGCCGGACGGCCCTGTCCCAGCAGCTGGGCGGCCACTCGCTGAAAAACATTACGCACACACAAAGACAAAGATCCCCCTGATAGCTTCAACAGACTGTTGGGGTCAAGTGCTGTTAAGTGAGAACCTATCAAGGCGGGCAAGTTACACGACGGGGGAGTGGGTGGCCAGCACCACGCCCGACCGCCATTGTTTTTTCCCAGTGCCGATGTTGACACACTGCACCAGCTACTCATATCAGGCCGAGTCGACCTAGAGGAGGTGCAGGACCGGTTCAGATTATTGTCATTGATGCGTTGGCCACGAGCGAGAATCAAACCTCGGGGTCGCCGGGTTCGTAGCGGCAGCACGCTAACCGTTACACTACCACTCCCACTACATCTACACAAGCGCACACACACACGTACGTATGTACACAAGCATGAACAGAGTACACACGTGCCAGCACGCTAAACACATATCAATGCCGTGTCGGCGAGCCGAGAGGGCGACACACGACCACATTACAGATAACAAATTGTCTGTTTTCTAAATAAAATAAAAATGATTTAGAACTCATTTTGGTGTTTAGTTTGTTGTCCTTCGCCCACACCTCCGATTTAGCACGGTTGGCTACGTACGGTACGAAAGAAGTTCAACGTACATACATACAAATCGCATGGGGCTTATCGTGCCAAACTAAGGCGGCCATCACAGTTGACCCCCACCTTCTGTCGACGCGTTCTGGTTTTCCGGCGGGGCCGCTCCCCCCCCGGGGGGCTCTCGTCGGGGGCCCCCACCCTCTCCCCGTCGGAGCTGCTGCCCCGGCCCCTTTGCGCGGCGCGGCGGCGCACGGCGCGTTTCGGCGGCTGCAGGTTCACGCCGGCCTGCGCTGTCCAGTCCGAGTACTCGCTGGACGACTCGCTGGGCGCAACGGAGACAGCACAGAGCATCGCCGTCGTCATCACGAAGCCACATCCATCACTACCGACATCATCACCGCTACAGAGGACGCGCTGGGCGAGGAGACGACAGCATCATCGTCACTGACGCAATCATCGTCGTCACTGCCGCCATCAGTCAGCCGCCGTCACCGTCACAGCGCCATCTACGGTCAATACCACCATCACGGCCACTACCACGAACCGCCTTCACCATTACCGCCATCATTGCTGGCATCACTATAATCACTGTTGCCATCATTACCACTGTAAACATCATCACCATTATTATTTCCACCACCGCAGTCATCACGACCACCATTATCAACATCCCCACCACGAATGTCATCATCATCATCATAGCTGCACGGTTCCCTGCCGCCACCCGTGTGACACGGCTGCCGGGCGCTCACCTGGTCGTGCTGCTCTCGCTCTGCCACTCGTCGCCATCGTCCGACGACGATGCCCCACTGGGGCCACCCGTGCGGTTCTCCTGCGCACAGGAACATACGTGAACACGCACACGCACAAACACAAGACAAACGTCCCCCAGAAAAGCCCTTGATTGTTGTCGCGGCACCTATTAATTAAGGCCGCCATGCACACAAGGGGGTGGGGGTGGAGGGCAGTGACATGCCTTGCCACCCCTTCTCTCTCCAATGTTTGTGTTTTTACACATGGCACCAAGTTATTCATTTAAGGCCGATTTAATCTCGGGGAGGCCCGGGACCGGTTCAGATATTAGTCACCAAGGTTGGCTGTGAGCGAGAATGGGAGTCTGTGTGAGTTAATGGGTCTCGTCGATTCGGACTTAAAGCAGTGCCTTGGTGCGGTCGTGTGTTGGGGCGAGAAAACACCACGCTTCATCTTTGTGTGTCATTCCGGCCTTGTTAACAGGCTCGCAAACAGCACTTGGCCCGTAAGTCTGTGTGGGCTACACGGCCAGATGTTTGCTTTGTCTTTTGTGTGTCAGGGAGGATGGGTGGCGCTGTGGTTGGCACACCGCCATCTGGATTTGATCGTCACGCTTGTAAACCAAATGGTGACTTGTCTACGTCTCCGTGAGGAGATGGAGCCATGTGATCGTGGATTGTTATATCACGACAACGTGAGCGGAGGCAGTTTCTCAATTAACGGAAGTCAGAGAGTCAGTGGTATCTACACGAGTCTACAGGCGACTGCGCGAGCCCGTGGCCGGAGTGAGCGAGCGCATGTTGGGGGGGGCCTGCAACGTACGTCCGACGAGCTGTCGTAGGCGGCACGGCGCAGCGGGGCCGGTCCGTCCGGGCTCCTCGAGCGTGGAGCGCGTGCGGTAGCCGTGGAGGCCGCCGTGCGAGGCCTGCTTCCTCCGCTGCTTCAGGCCCTTGGCGGCCACGTTGGGAGAGTCGGACTGTGGCGGCGGGAAGCGAGATCGTAGGTACAGAGACAAGAGACAAAACTCCCCCCCCCCTCCCATCATTGCCTTTGACTGACTGTTGGGGCAAGGACTGTTTGTTGGTAAGCATCCACGATGGAATCGTGTGGCCAGAATAGAGGTCGCAAACGGGTTTTGATTCCTTACCCGTACCCGGCCGCACCAGGGTCGCAAACGGGTACCCGTGCCCGTACCCGGCCGGGTATGGGTAGCCGGGTATCGGGTAGGGTACGGGTATCGGGTACTCGATTGCGACCTCTGGGCCAGAACCATGCCTGGGGCTGCCTTTGTTTCCCCAGCGCAGGATGTTTGAATCACTGCAACATGTACCCATGAAGAATGCACTGTACATCTACGTTGGGGGTGATGGGAGACATTTTTATCAGTACAGTGTGGGTGCACATGTACACAAAGACAAATATCCCGCGATTAGCCTTAAAATACTGGTTTGGACAAGTGCTGTTAGCGAGTAGAATCTATCAAAACCAGCACGGCACACGAGGGGATGAGTGGCCAACATCACGCCCGGGCCACATTTCTCTCCCCAGTGTTGATGTTTACACACCACATCAGGTACTCCCATTTAAGGAAAAGCAAGCCTAGAGCAGGCCCAGGACCGGTTCAATTCTAGCCGATTATTATTGGTAATGAACGGGACTCGGGTCGCCGGGTTCGTAACCCATTACACCAACCACTACACAGGATCACAAGAATCAGAATATGTATTTATACTGGAGGAATCCGATGAACCAAAGCTTATTTTTTTCACACACTTCCATCGTAGGTAGACGCACACACCACACACATACACGCGGCGCACAAAAGAATGCCGTCACATTTTCCGCTGGACGGAGGGAGTGGCATGCCGACAAAACGGCGGAGTCTCTCACCCTGTGTGCGGCGGAGATCGGCTTCCTCCTCTTCTCCCTCTCGTAGATGTCGGATTCCTCGACGCCTTTGGCGTGGCGGTAGCCCTCCTGCGTGCTGTTCGCGGGCACGTGTACGCACACACGCAGGCACACAATGACAAAGATCCCCCCCCCCCCCGCCGCTATAGCCGTCACCAGACTGTTGGGGCAAGCACCTATGAAGGCAGGAACGGCACACGGTGGGGGTGGGTGGCCAGCACCACGCCCTGCCAGCTTTGTCTCCCCAGTGACGACATTTACACACCGCACCAGGTACTCATGAGGCAGTCAGCCTAGGGGAGGCCCAAGACTGCTTCAGACAATCACTACTGGTGTTGGTGTGTTGGTGGCCGTGAGCGAGAACCACTACCACTCTCCACACACGCATGCACACACCTCTCATGTCATCAACAGCCAGAGAGTGGTGGTGGCAACACGCGGACACCACAATCCTCGCTACACTATCACCAGCTGTGGAGTGAGCGCCCCCGAGACTACCCAAGTCCGACTCCGTTGCTAACGATATTGAAGAATTAGCCATTGGCTGCGCCTCTACAGTCGGTTTTGGCCACCTTGGTCTCGGACCGTTATTTAATCGTGTGTGGATATATACGTATCCAGAACACGCCCGATCTCAACAGATCTCGGAAGCCAAACAGAGCTGAGCGCTTCGACGGGTGGCGATCGTGCACGGCAGGTACGTGGCTAGATGGTAGGCAGCAGAGGGTCGCGAGACAAAATCCACATTGGTACTGCACGTTCCGTGCTCCGGTGGGAATCCATCCCAGTTGCAACCCTGAACAACAAAACATCTGCCACGGAAATCGCCGCTCCGTGCCCTTCATCAGCCGTCGCACGGCCATGCTCTGATTGAGTGGCCTGCCTCTCTGCGCGTGCGTGCGATGACTGATAGGCGGGGGGAGGGGGGGAGGAGGGGGGGAATTGTGGAGGGGGAGCGCGTGACCACCTGCTGAGGCCCGGCGCCACCTCGGGCACCACGAGGCGGTTGTTCCAGGCCAGCAGGTCCCCCGAGGCGGTATTGAAGCGGCTCTGCGCCACGTTCTGCCGCATGCCCTCCACCTGCCCGCTCCGCCGACGAGGACCCGGGCTCCTCCGCGGCGTCTCGCTCTCTGCCCCGCGACACGACGCGCCGAGCGTTTCAGCGTCACGTTAGTTTTGTCGCAGGTCTTCAACGAGGCCGCGCTTTGCACAGTTAACGATGCAGATGGTCGCCCTCCTTCTCACCCGTAAACGAGACCAATTACTCCAAGCCCTCCACTGGCTCCAAATCAAATCCCATGATTTTATACTCTTGGGTTTTTTCGGTAAAGTCACGTTGCCTCTGAAACGTCGTGATTTAATTTAGTTATTTTCATTTATTCTTTTATTTTATTATAATTTTTTACCTACGCGACTTTACCGAAAAAACCTAAGAGTGAATCCTTGCAGTCACGAAAGCTTCAAATCTAGAATCCCTTGATTTTAATTTTAAAAGCGTTCAGCATCTTCAGTATTCTCTATGGGCTCGTCTCGTCGCTGCCTACGTATCCCTTCAGCGGGCGCGACAGTGGCAAGATGTTAACTACCTCGCCTGGTATACAGGAGGTCGCGAGTTCGATCCCGACCCTGCCGCCTGTTGTATATTTGGAGTTTGCATGACTCTCCCCGTGGTCGCGTGGATTTTTCTCTGGGGTCCTTCGATTTTCCCTCCACATACATTTCCGCATGATAAGCCACTTTGTTAAGATATCATTAGTGGCCATATCATGTCTGAAAGAGAGCTATATAGTTCAGTGGGGCTTACTTGGTAAAAGAAAAATTTATTAAAATTTGGATTTAAAGCTTTCGTAACTGCAGAGATTCATATTCTTGGTTCTTTCGGTAAAGTCACGTAGAAGGGAAATAATAAAATAATATAAATATAAAACAATAAAAAAAAATTATCACGACGTTACGGCTGCAACACAAGCAACCACCATCAGGTGTGAAATCCACAGCAAGAAAATTTGAAAAAAGTGTTTTAGTTTAGTTGAGTTTCCTTCTTACTACTCCCCTCCACGCTCTCTCCTAGCTCTCCCCCCACCCCTCACTCTACTCTCCCCCCTCCTACCCCCTCGCACTCTCCCGCCTCTCTCCCCTCCCGCTCGCTCGTCGTACCGGAAGACGGCGGAGGATGCACCGTCAGCGACACCGGCGACAACTCGGAGGAGGGCTCGTCCTGCCCCGTGGCTACCGCACGCTCGTCCTGTTCACGCTGGAGACGCAGGATCATGTTGTCCAGGATGCTTCCCTCAACTTGTGACGGCGATCATTGCCGCAGGATGGTTGGGGGGGGGGGGCGAAGGGCCCACACATACACACGGACAGTGTTAACGTTCATTTTTTCTATAGACGGCATTAACTACATTCGAGAGCAAGATGTCATCATCGTGGCCACATGCACGCACAAAGACAAAGATGACCCTTATAGCCTTAACAGACTGTTGTAGACAAGTGCTGTTAGCGAACACCTGTGAAGGCTGGCACGGTGCACGAAAGAGTGGGCGAGTTGCACCACCCCCGGCCGCCTTTGTTTCCCTAGTGCCGATGTTTACACATCGTACCAGGTACTCATTTGAGGCCGAGTTGAGCTAGCAGAGGCCCTGGACCGGTTCAGACAACAGTCAGGAAGCGGGAATCCAACTCGGGTCGCCGGGTTCGCAGCTCAGCGTGCGCCAACCACTACGTTACCGCTCCCCACAATACGTCACACTCGCACACACGAACACGAATGCCACTGACACCATCTAACAAAGAAAGGTGACCGCATCGCACAATTTCAGATGCGCTTTTGCGACCGCCAGGAAAAACCCTTCGTTCCGACTTTAGGAGGAAGCCACTGGACCGATGTACTTTTACATCATCTACATTGCAAACTCACTTCTTTAGAACCGCTTTTTGCATTTACTTTGTTGTCCTTCCCCCGCCCCGCACCTCCGCCTAGCACGGTTGGCTACGTACGGCGCAAGAGAAGAGGTTCAACATCGTCGCCTGATGAGGCTCGCTGTAGTTACCGGCGACACGTCACGGTACTCGAGTTGTCAATGTTGTGGGTTTATTCTCCCACACACCGGTGCGCTGAATGCGTAACTAATGGCCACGTTTTGTTGACGGTAGTAGCAGGGTTTAACGACACATTTATATTTCGATTTAAAGCTTTCGTGACTGTAGGGGATTCACATTCTTGGTTCTTTCGGTAAAGTCACGCAGAAGGGAAATAAGAAAATAATCATTCCCCTTCTTCGTGACTTTACCGAAAGAACCAAGAATATTACTTATTTATATTTAAGCGATCTAACCCTATGAAACCTCTATGTACGCACGTACCCATCTGTGGGATGAGCTGGTGGAGGCTGCAGCCCTGGCGCCCCGGCACCAGGCGCTGGTAGCGTGGCGGGTGGGGGTTGCCGTCGACGTCCACCAGGAATGGCGGCGGCATGAGGTGCGGCGCCTGTTGTGTCTGCTCGTCCAGTACGAAGTTGTTGGCGTCGCGCAGCAGCGGACGATAATCCGTGTGGAAGAACATCTGGTCTGGGATCTGAGTCCGAGGAAAAAGAGGTTTTTTTTAGTGGCAGGCTCAACGCTCCGATCTTCCGTGCCACATCACCGACAACAAAAAAAACATTTTTTTTATTTTAACAGCCAAGGCCCACTGAGCTATGTGACCTGGGCCACAAATGATCACTCAACGAAGTGGCTGCTATCATCGTGTGGAAATTTGTTGCAGCCTGTTGATTTTTAATGGAGGGAAAAACCGTAGGAACCGAAGAAAAATCCACATGACTATGGGGAGAACATGCAAACTAAAAAATATACAGGCACCAGGGTAGGGGTCGAACCCACACCCTCCTGGATACCAGGCGAGAAGGTTAACATATCACCACTGTGGCACCTAAGACCAACCCGGCTATCCCTGCGTAACCACACACGATGCTACACGTGAATGCCGAGTGTAGGAAGTTGTCCAAAAGGCAAATTCGTTAACGCAAACACCACGAGGTTAATGATTGGCATCGCTAAACAATATCGGATCTCGGACAAAACGAAAGACAAATCAGCGGGGCGAAGTTGCAACGAGAGGGGATAGCCGACAACTTTCCCGTGCCTGGAAAACACGGTTTAAGCACGAGCGGCCGAAAACCCGGAGTCACACCCAGCATTCTCAGCAGTACCGGTTCGACACGATGATCAGCACCACCCCCCCCCACCCCCGCTCGCCACACCAGAGCTACATTACCGACGACGACAGCGACGACGTTACCTTGTCGTACTTGCTGCTCGAGCCAAAGCCGAAGATGAGGAGGTGGCCGTGGGAGTCGGTGCACGCAAAGTGCTGCCCGTCCGGCGAGAACTTGCAGTCGAAGACGGCGCCATGGCCCTGACCCTCGATCTGTCTCAATCAGCACACGCGCCACCACCACCAGAAAACACGCACGTTCCTCGCTTGTAATCATTGCACACCAGCTCACAAAGACAAAAATGTTTTTACTCTTATAAACTGATCGTTTATTAATGATTCCCAACTGCCGTCGCCATCTTGCGTACATTGTAACATTGGGCAATCTTCTCCAATGCCTCTTCAAAAACTAGTCACGTTCCATCCCGAAGGTGATTAGACTTTTTTTTGCATAATTAGAATTTTAAGTGCAATTAACCTTTTGACTTAGCCTTATATTATCATTGCACCGTTATTCGTTTCCTCGGAAACTCTGATTTCACGGTTAGCGGACAGATGTCATCGCGACCACAATCGCGCGATGGGAAACCTGGCCCTGGTGTTGGCGGGTGACAGCGGGCGACGGCGGGCACGCACCATGTTGAAGTACGTGCGGATCTTGGCGCCGCGCGAAAGGTCCCACATGATGACGTTGCCGTCGTGGCCGGCCGACAGCAGGATGCGCGGATCCACGGGGTGCGACTCCAGCACGAACACCTCGTCCTCGTGGCCCTGAGGGGCACGGAGCACGCGTGAGAGAGCGCGGGGGGGGGGGGGCACATGCAGGCACGTGCAAGCACGGGCACGCGCAAGCGCGGCACGTCGTACGCACGCGCAAAAACAACCGCCGTCCGCCGCTACCCAGTAAACGTTGCGCCAACCGCAGGCCAATGGTTCTCAAAACCACATGCCAACATTGACCCAACCCTGCAACATTTACCGGGCAAGTGGTGGTGATGTCTCACGGCACCACTTGTGCCAAAGCAAGCAAGCAAGCAACTTGGGAGGCCGACAGGTGAAGTGTGAAAAGTTCACTTCTGGGCAGGTCAGATGACAGACCCAGGTGCCGTGCGTTAACGGACTGAGATGACCAACTGCCAGTGGTGCTCCCCACTGTGCACTAAGGCACGAAACAAGATCCACCGTATAGCCCATTTAGAGAGAGATTATTGGGGCAAGAGCAGAGCCCCGGCACTGCGGAGATGAATTATACAACACACCACGCCCGGGCGCCATTGTCTCCCTAGTGCCGATGTTTACACGGCACACCAGGTACTAATTCGTCAACCTGAGAAGGGGCCCAAGACCGGTTCAAGTATTCACTGTTATTGCTCACGAGGGGGAATCGAACTCTGGATTGCCGGGTTTCGTGGCGCAGTGCACGCTAACCGTGCTCGCGCGACCACCACCACCCTCGCACGGCCCTCACCGTGAGCACATGCAGCAGCTGTCCAGTGTAGGAGCTCCACACTTTGAGCGCGAGGGTGTTGACGGCCGTGATGACGGTGCTGTCGTGCCGATCCCACGCCACCATGGTCACCTGTTGTTTCACAGACACCACACCCCCACCACCTCCGTTTCACCTCGAGCATGTACAAACGTATAGTTTTTTTTTACTTTAAAAAAACACGTCAACAATCAACTTCATTGATAAATCTTTAATGGACTTCAGGTCACGTGACATGAAAGAGAAATCGGTGGAGTGTGTGACTGGTAGTTTCTGGAATGATTGAAGGAAAGTTTGTGATAAGACTAATAATGACAAACAAGTCTGGATGAGGATAATGAGATGCAACTCTGGGCTCACAAGACTGGATTAGACATTAAAGACACGGGGAAGAAGGCAAGAGCGAGGGGAAGTCCAATCAGGTATGTTGAATTTCTTTCGCATCGTACATAGCCAACCGTGCCAATCGGAAGTGTGAGGAAGGGTAAGTGGCTAGGGGCAAGTGTCAGGATTAGAAGCTAGCGAATGCTGCCCATCTCAAGCACGTCGACAGGAAGTCCACTCAGGTGGCGAGGGGGAACGTGTTGTAAGAAGACAGGAAACCACGTCGCAAGAAGAAAGGTGATGAACATGGAAGCACCAGGGCGGAGACTGGGAGGCCGAGAGAAAGAGGTTGTCTGGAGCCATGAGAACCCAGGAACAGGAATGGGTGGACGATGAGGAGCAGGAGGGCAAAGCCCAGAAAGAGGGAAGTCATTAGGATTGTGTGAACAAAAGCCACCGTGCACCGTGCAGTGCCGACCTTCAGCTTGAACACCTTGTCTTCCACGGGCGGGTTGTTGTTTCTGCAGCCATGAAAACCAAACAGTGGGGGGGGTTAAAAAAACGAGTCCTGCTTCACGTACACCGTCACCCACGCCGGCCACACCGAGACAAACCAGAAAAGCTGCGCAAAGAAAACCAATCGCCGCGATGCTTTTCTTTCTGTGCCACGCAATTGGCGAGTTCAAATCCCGGTCGCGGCTAACGAACATCTGAAAACTCACCGATCCGCATTGGCCACCGATGGTTAGCCATGGCTGGGAATCAAACTTGGGTTAGGTAGGTTCATAGTGCAGCAGGAGTATATTACCCAGGAAGCTTGGAAGACATGTCAAGCAGGAGACTCTTCCACTCCTGCCGCCGGTATTGCCAGATCCGTGCCGTGCCATCCCGGCTGCCACTCACAAACCTGTCGCAACAGCCACACGCAGAGCCCCCCGTTATATCTTCAACAGAATGCTGGGGTAAGTGTTGTTAGAAAGCACCTATCAAGGACAGAACGGTACACGAAGGGGTGGGTGGCCAGCACCACATCCGACAGCCTTTGTCTCCCCAGTGGAAAGGTTTATACACTGCACCAGGTACTCATTTGAGGCAGACTCGACCTAGCAGAGGCCCATAGCCGGTTCGCAGTGCGCTAACTGCGACAGTACCGCTCGATACAGCCAAAAATTACGATGACCACGGATGCCGTATTCGCAGCAGAGCGCAGTGGCAATGCCGGGCGAGGGCTGAATAACGTGCCACACGGAGGGTGCGGCCCCTTTCTTACCGGTCTCCATTGTTCGAGAACTGAATACTGTCCACCTTGTCCTGGAACGAAAGAGCAAGAAACGTCAGAATACGCCAACCCGAGCGCGCGGGACCGTTTACACCGCGGCAGCTCCGTTCGCCGCCAAAAATAAACGCACGAAGGTCCGACGTAGGCGCCGTTACCGTGTGCGCTTCCAGCTCAGCGATCTTGTCCGGGGACCGGTCCCCCAGGTAGTAGACACGGATCACATGGTCTGTGCTGCCCGTGGCCAAGAACATCCCACCTGGGGGAAGGAATACAACACCGGGGAAGTAGGGGGGGGGGGGGGGCACACGGAAATGGGTCAGTGTTACTCAGCTACAATTAAACAATAGATACTTGTGTAGATGCCGAACAATGTTATGGATGTGGAGAGTGGGGGACAATACTCGGGTTGTGTAAAGGCGGAGCAATGCAAGGAATGTGGAGTGGCTGGATAAAGCTAGGGGTGAGTAGTGGTGGGGTAAAGCTAGGGGTGAGTAGTGGTGGGGTAAAGCTAGGGGTGAGTAGTGGTGGGGTAAAGCTAGGGGTGAGTAGTGGTGGGGTAAAGCTAGGGGTGAGTAGTGGTGGGGTAAAGCTAGGGGTGAGTAGTGGTGGGGTAAAGCTAGGGGTGAGTAGTGGCTGGATAAAGCTAGGGGTGAGTAGTGGTGGGGTAAAGCTAGGGGTGAGTAGTGGTGGGGTAAAGCTAGGGGTGAGTAGTGGTGGGGTAAAGCTAGGGGTGAGTAGTGGTGGGGTAAAGCTAGGGGTGAGTAGTGGTGGGGTAAAGCTAGGGGTGAGTAGTGGTGGGGTAAAGCAAGGGGTGAGTAGTGGTGGGGTAAAGCTAGGGGTGAGTAGTGGTGGGGTAAAGCTAGGGGTGAGTAGTGGTGGGGTAAAGCTAGGGGTGAGTAGTGGTGGGGTAAAGCTAGGGGTGAGTAGTGGTGGGGTAAAGCTAGGGGTGAGTAGTGGTGGGGTAAAGCTAGGGGTGAGTAGTGGTGGGGTAAAGCTAGGGGTGAGTAGTGGTGGGGTAAAGCTAGGCATGTCTAGTGGTGGGGTAAAGCTAGGGGTGAGTAGTGGTGGGGTAAAGCTAGGGGTGAGTAGTAAAGCTAAGGATGAGTAGGGGTGGGGTAAAGCTAGGGGTGAGTAGTGGTAGACTAAAGCTAGGGGTGTGTAGAGGCTGAGCGTACCAGCGCTGAAGGAAGAACAGAAGATCTGCACGCCGGGTCGAGTCCTCTCCGTGAACTTCACGGGTCGCTCGCTGCAGGACAAGTCGAGGCACGTTACAAACCGCCGTCTCGGCCAAGGCGATGACGCTCATCAGTCGCGTGCTGCTGGATTCTTACATGAAATATGAGATATATATACCTCCGTTTTCCAAAACTGGAACAAAATTTACAAGTTGACAAGTGATGTAAGACTGCAACTGGCGCGAGCCCTAACACAATGTTTCGTAAAAAAAATAAAAAGGCCAAGTGATATAAAACGTCAATTCTTGTAAACACGTGATGTTATAACAGCAGATATGCAATAGGAAACAAATAGTACTGGGATAAACAGAGCCAACATGATATTTTTGATTCAACAGGTTCTCACATCAACAGTGATTATCGTGCAACCTCTGGGGGGGGGGAGGGTTTATTGGGTGCATGCCAAGGTAGCAAGGCAGATCGCCAATCGTATTAGGATTCATATTCGTCTGGTCCCGTTTTGTTTTGGAATATTTCGTACTATTTGCAAGATCTGGCTGCCGCCTGATTAGAGGCCGGCTGAAATTGAATTTCTGGTTTCGGCCGACACCGAAAGCAAGCCGAAAGTTAACTTTTTGGCTCCGGCCGAAACATAAAGTATGCCGAAAGAGACCATTTGCCAACTTTCGGCGCCGAAACCGAATTTCGGTCGGCGTCTAGACGCGTCACAAACTCGCACGCACACCCAAGCCCCCTCCTGCTGTGTGGAACCCATGTGGAGGAGGTGGGGTGGGATGGGGTGCGATGGGGTGGTGGGAGGGTTGAATTGGATCATTGGAGGGGTGGGTGGGTTGGTTGGTGTGTGTGTGTCTAGTGGGCGGATGATTGAGTGTGTGCGCATGCACACTGTTGGCATCAGCACACTGCTATAATCTGCTCAGTGTGCTGTGCGTGCATCCGCGTGTGTGTGTGTGTGTGATGCGTGCCTCGAGCTGCCTGTGAGAGCCCAGCCTCTGAGCCGCTCAAACAAAAGTGCTCCTGATGGACTGCTGCTGTGAGTGCTGGCTACGGGTGTGCTGCTTGCTGCTGCTGCTCGCTAGTTTGGTGGTTTGGGGGGGGGGGGGAAGTGATTTTTTTCTTAGTCTTCTCCATCGTCTGTCTTATCCCCCCCCCCCCCCACCACCACCACAACCCTCTCACCCCCATCCTTGCTTGAGTGTGCGTGTGTGCGCTGCTTGCGATCGCCGGAGAGAGTGAGGAGCGTCTGCCATCAACCACCACCACCGCCGCCCGGAGTTGCATGCGCGCGCGTGCGTAGTTTAGAGGCCGCGATAAACCTTAATAATTGGCTGTGTCGGATGGTGGCGGGTTCAACGACATTTATCGGTACGAGATCCAACCCAAAAAACCTGTATTATGGATGATATTGGTCTCGGGAGTTACGTGTTCAACTGACCATTTGTCCAGTTTGTTTCCGCTCGCTCAACGCGCCCACATGGAAGACTTCAAAAAAATTCGCACAAATCAGGGCTGAGGAACCGCTCCCTTACCAAGGGGGCTTGCGGATTATCTTTGGAGGGACGCGAGTTAAACGCACACCTCAGACACTCCTGTCACTGCAAGAGGCCTCTTGCAGTGACAGGAGTGTCTGAGGTGTGCGACACTACAAGAGGCCTCTTGCAGTGTCTAGGCCGACTAACAGTCTAGGAGTACACCCAAAAAGATAGTCCGTAAAGGGTTAAACCTTTTAAAATTTACCAGCTGGGTTTTGGTCAACAAGCAGTCAATTTGCCCGGTTTTCTACAGGGCTACTAGAACATGTGTGAAAAAATTGCTTTATACCTCATCGAATTCCTCCTCCAGTATAAATATCCAGATTCTGAAAAAAAAATATGTCTGATGTCCCGAAAAGCAATGCAACTTTAACCAAACATTTCATTTATACCGGACTAACTTTATGAGAGTTAGTGACCCCCCCAAACCCCCCCCCCAAACCCTTTACAAGTGAGCCCTGAAAACGCACGCACGGGACTTGCCAGAATTTGAGGGATGCAGCGTCCCACTGCCAGAAGCAAACAATGCCGTCGGCACCACTTGAGGCCAGCCAGCGCACGGAGCCCCGGCACTGCGGAGAGAACTGCACAAACCAAGATAAAGATCACCCGTGTAGCCTACATACCCGTCGCGTCAAGTGCTGCCACAGAGTAGCACCTATGAAGGCCGGCACGGCACATAAAGCGGTGGGCTTGCCAGCACCCACAACACGCCTGGTCTCGATGTTTACACACCACACCGGGTACTCATATAAGGCCGAGTTGACCACGGGGAGGCCCACGACCAGTTGGATAATCGTCACTGGTGTTGGCTGCGAGAGCGTTTACCACTCTGCCACCACCATTACCTCTCCCCCTTCCCCCAACAGAACCGAACAAGCACGCACACAAGCACGCACACAAGCACGCACACAAGCACGCACACAAGCACGCACACAAGCACGCACACAAGCACGCACACAAGCACGCACACAAGCACGCACACAAGCACGCACACAAGCACGCACACAAGCACGCACACAAGCACGCACACAAGCACGCACACAAGCACGCACACAAGCACGCACGAAGACCAACCTGCAGGGAAGTGATGGAGGCCGTGTGACCCTGCAGCACGGCCATGGGGGCACAGGTGCGCAGACACCAGACGCGCACCACGTGGTCGCAGGTGCCGGCCGCCAGCAGCGAGTTCTCGTAGTTCACGGCCATGTCCGAGATCTCGGCCGCGTGGCCGCGCAGCGTGGCGAGAAGCCGCCCGTCCTCAGCCGACCACACCTTCACCAGGCAATCGTCGGAACCCTGCAACAGGCAGCATTGTGCACCGCCGATTATTCGCATTGCCAATGCACAACGGGGGGGGGGGGGCCATACCCGTGTCAAATGAAATCACGGGATTTGGAACATTTACTGTGAAGCAGACACCGCGTATTTTACGGCCGATACACTCTCAGTATTTACTATTTTAACATTTTTTTTTTTTTACCCGGTAAGATCCACTGAGCATTGTAGCTTTTACAGAAGCGACCTGGCTATCAAAAATGATAGCTCAACGAAGTGGCTAATCATCATTGTGTGGAAATTTATTGCAGCCAAATTGAACGCATGTTTCTAAATGTGGAGGGAAAAACCGGAGGACCCGGAGAAAAATCCACATGACCACGGGGAGAACATGCAAACTCCTAATATACAGGCGTCAGGGTCGGGATCGAATCAACGACCTACTGTATACTAGACGAGGTAGTAAATGGGGTGATTTCGCTACCGCTGGGCCGTTTCACTGTAAACGTTATTTTACTTAATTCAGTTAATATCTATTTAAAGCTTTCGTGACTGCAGGGATTCATCTTCTTGGTTCTTTCGGTAAAGTCACGTAGAAGGGAAATAATAAAATAATAAAAATAAAACATAATAAAATAATTCTCAAGACGTTTCGGCCACAACGCAAGCAGCCGTCCTCAGGTGAAGAACAGGTCTGTCGGGAAGACAGCGTCTGAATGAAACACCCCAGGCTTGGAGCGTATATTTAAGCTGGGTTGAAGGGGGAAGAGCGCCTTAGAGTCGCGACTCTAAGACGCTGTCTTCCCGACAGACCTGTTCTTCACCTGAGGACGGCTGCTTGCATTGTGGCCGAAACGTCGTGAGAATTATTTTATTATGTTTTAATTTTATTATTTTATTATTTCCCTTCTACGTGACTTTACCAAAAGAACCAAGAAGATCAGTTCATATCCTCCCTGAAAGTTAAACACATCGCGTTGGCTTGAAACAAACTCTTGGCTGGGAAAAGGTTTCAAAACGGAATGTTGTCTCATCGCATAAGGAGAGACATCAGAACAGGAATATATAATTCATAAAGAAAGAGAACAGAATTATAATTAAAAACAAATTAAGAAACATCGTGCATATGCACGGATTATGCAATTCTTTCCAAAACTTGTTTTGTTTTCAGAATCATTTAATAATTATCAGTACAAAAACCATTGCATCGCTGTGAGGTGAAAGCACATTTGCATTCATTGTAGTCCTTTACGCTCCGATGAGTATTATTGTGACCCCATGTTGCAGCCTTACTAATTCGACTGGACAAAAGCCTCTGTAACCAATGGAGCTGTTTGACCCTGAAAAACTTCACACTGATCAGTGTAGATTGCACTCAAGTGTTGGTTGGGGAATGAGGGCCCCCCCAACCCTCACCTTTGAAGGGCTGGTTAACATTTGAATTGTCAATGATGCTAGTCATTCATAACGCTACTTAAGTTTTCCATTCACATTGGGTAAAGGCAGTGGGACAGACACACAGATGCCCAGACACACAGACAGGCGCTTTCCACAAATGAACCACAACACCTTGCTAATTTTGTCAAAGGAGCATAAACCATCACGCAAACTGCGGTCATCTTCGCAGCAGTGGCTTGTGGCTAGCCATCAAACAAAGACTGTCACCGTATCACGCAATTTCAGATGTGCGTCTGTGGCCGTCTGGAACGCTCTTCCTTCCGATATTTGGAAGCCACTGGGAGCTATGCACTTTTAAATCTAGATTGAAAACTAATTTCTTTAGAACTGCTTTGTGTTTAGTTTGTTGTCCTGCCCCCGCACCTCCAATTAGCACGGTTGGCGACGTACGAAATTCAACATATGTACATACACATGGATAGAGCAAATTAATGAAAGATTTCAACCCGAGTTGGAAAGCGTTAACAGCAGTGGTGGGGACCGAGGGTCGGCGCGTACCGTGAATATGCGCTGGCCGGTGCGGTCGAATGCGAGGCAGTAGACGGAGGAGAGGTGCCCCAGGATGCGGCGGTGCATGCGCGCGTGCTGATACAGCGTGATGGGCACGGCATGTCCATGCCGTATGCAGCCAGTGCGCTCGCGCGCCGACAGCAAACTCACTGCACCGCAACACGGCACAACACACGAGCTCACCACCGCCGTTGCACCACAACGCACAAAGCTCCCTGCCCCGTCGCAGCACAACACACGAAATTACTGCACCGTTGCACCATGAATCGTTTCATGCCCATCAACTCACCACACAAAAGAATACAGGATTTCAAACAGCTATGAAAATCCATACCCTAAAAAGGTAAACCCAACAGGCTCTTTGAGCCGTCATGTTTACAGCAATTGCAGCATGATCCAAATCATTAGCGGCAATGTTGCAGGCACATATGGCCAATGAACTCCACCTCGACCCATCCACCAGTTTTATTGAAGAGCAATTTGAAAGTTTTGCGAATTGTAGTTTATGTCAACACAACGTTGAAATCTCAAGCACCGAAACCGTATCCGCAAGCCGCGCTCTCTCACCAAGGTGGGGCGGATTACCCACGCTGCTCTGGGGCTGAGGGGGGCGGCCGCGGTGCAGGGCGGCCAACGCCGATCCACGCCACACCACGCGGCCGAGGTCTGCGTCAAGAGAGGGTCACCAACAACAACAACGGACGCCAGCGTCAACACAAGCCACACAGATTCGAGCTGCAACTACCCACGCTTTAACTTCTGTACTTCACGTTATTTGTTTTGCTTTGGTTATTTTGGCGACCCGGGTCACTCTTGCAAATGAGACTCCTATATCCTGCGCTCGTGTGTTCTCACCTGGTTAAACAAAATCAACTTGAAAATCAAAACGTCCCACACCATTTCAATAAACCCTGATAAATTGATAATTGCTTGAATTAATGGATGAAATTAAAATGCACCCGTGCGTCGCTTATCATTTGCATGAATGCCACACCCAGGAGGATAATAAAGTAAAGTACAGCCTCTTTGTCAATCCACTGCTGGATGAAGGTTTTCTCTCCACTCCCTCTCCATTGGAAAAGACACAGACAGACGATGACTATGGGGAGCTATGGGGGCACCAAGGTGTAGATCGAGAGGCCTAAGAGCTTCTTTCGAAATAACCCCAGGACATTGGAGGAATGTGGAGCGTAAATCTAGATAATGGCCCGGGAATACAACTGAGTGGTGTAAGAGGGGGGAGCAAGAAAGCAGACCCCACATGAGTCAGAAAAATGCCATGGAGAGGAACGACGCCCCATCTGTAACACGCGTGTTAAAACGACGTTGCAGGCCCACACCTTTGCGTGTGCGCATCAGGGACTGGCGACCGGCCCCCAGCAGAGAGCAGACCCCCGGCACGCTGGGCGGGATCTCGCGGTCCAGGAGAGGGCCCAGCCGCTGCACCACAAGCAGCAGGTGCTCGGGCACCAGGTGAGTGTGGCTCAGCACCTGCAGAGGTAGCGCAACACACGTACACACACGTCAGCCAGCCAGACGCATCCAGCCACCAATGTTGGATTGAGGGGGGGAGGGCGGTGACGTGGCCCAGCAGTAGCGTGTTCTCTACTTGCTGCGGAGGTTCCCAGTTCGAATACGGCAGGCCGCCCTGGTTAATACCGCGGTCGTGTGTACGAACAGTCAAATACGACTACGCGCCGTCTGCTTCACAGTGGACGTTAAAAGTTCCACGATGTTGTTCGAATGCAGAAAGCTGTTGTGCACCAGCATTACGGTCCGAATCTGAAACATTTGCGACAAATTACTCTATTGGGATTGTACAGCAATCGTCGCCTCTACCGTGCAACTACTGCAGATTGCCTAGGAGACAGCACTTTAATGTTTGGACGATAACGGTGCGAATACTATTAGCACAATTGTTTATTAATCACTTACACCAACTTTCTTGGGAGTTTAACACGTAGGCTTTCGTGACCAATGTTATTCATAATAAAAGTTTTTGGGTTAGATCGCGTAAGTATGTGTCGAAACCCTCTAGCACCCGACAAGGCCAATCAGCAATGGATTTGTCACGTAAACAAAAAGACAAATAGTTACTACTTCAGCCCACCGGTGTGTTGAAGAGTGAATCCACAACATTTACAATTTGAGTACGACGTTTCGCTGGTAATTACATCCAGCATCATCGAGCGATTTGCCAGAATAGTGAGGCCTTAAATAGAGCAGCAGGGTGACGTCATCATTTAACCCAATCAGGTGCAGAGATCAGAGGCGGGGGGGGGGGGGGTATTGTAATTATATAATAGATTAGTAATCACTTAATTGTTATGATTCCTCTATAAGGAGTTGTAATGTGTATTATTTAATAACTGAACCCAATCACTATACCCAATCAGGTGCAGAAATCAGCGGTGGAGGAGGGGGGGGGAGTTATTGTAATTATATACTACGTTAGTAATCAGTTAATTAGTACAGTAAAACCTTGGATTGCGAGTGACTTGGTCTGCGAGTGTTTTGCAAGACGAGCAAATTTTTAAAATAAATATTTATTTGATAAACGAGCGAGGTCTTGCAATAGGAGTAGTACGTGCATACGCTTTGTCTGCCGAGCGTCACGTGATCACAACTGATATACGAGTGCTTTGATATTCGAGTGCTTTGGATTACAAAACACGTTTCCGGAACGAATTATGCTCGCAATCCAAGGTTTTACTGTATGTGTCGTCCCCCCCCCCCCCCTCCAATCAACTCTACGCGGCTTTACAATTCATTCTATCCAGGAGAGGTTTGATAGATTATATGGCTCCAAGATGAGCAAGAGAAACCATGACAGCTAGAGCAGGTCAGCAAGGGACGTCTCTTTCTGGCCTGTTGTGAATGGCAATGCTTTCAAGCGTAGGAAAAAAAACCTTCTTGCATGCGCCAGAAATCAAAATAGGACCTGCCCCAATTCCAACGGCTAGCACCACCACGTGCGTTTTAACTACCCAGGAAGATGATGTCGTAACAACTTCTTAAGTCACTTAATTTCGACCTTTAACCACACTAGAAGGGCCATTGAATATGTTCAGGAAAAGAAGTTGTCCTTGCATGTTCAACCAACATTTATTTCTCAGGACAAAAAAATTACGTGAAAACCCAAATTTAACAGGATAATATTCTTTGGGTCTTTCGGTAAAGTCACGTAGATAGATTCAAATAAAATAACAAAAAACTACATTCAGATCGCAACACAAGTGGTCATCATCAGGATGATGAAAGACCCAAAGAATATGAATTCCTGCAGTCACGAAAGCTTTAAGTCAAGATTTAACGGGATAACTTTATTTTAGCAGAACTGAGAGACCATCAATTAGCAGCACTTGAGAAGCCGGTGTAATCAGAGGCAACTGAACCCTTCATATAAACCAGGGGCAGGGAACATGTTCCTTACCGAGGGTTGAGCTGTCACTGCAAGAGGACCTTGTGCAGTGGCAAAAGTGACCGTGCGCGCTAAAATTACAACCGCAGGGTCCATCAGGTTAAATATATTCCGCCGTTAGTACCCAATTAGTGTGGCCAAGGTGCTCTCGCAGTGACGTATATTATTTGCAGGCCATTTTGAAGCGGGAATCCTACTATGGCCACGGGAAATTGAGTCACGGGCAGGCATCTGGCCCCAGGGGGCATCGGTTCAACGCTGCCAATTTAAATCCACGCACAATCTCAGCGGTACTGGTGAAATTTACCGCAAACATAAAGCCAGTCTCACAAGCCATTCCGGCAAACGACCAAGGCTCCTGGTACCTCAGGATTTGATGCCAAATAATATTGGAAAAAACTGCGGCCGAACGGCAATATCCCAAACAAACACCCGACGTTGGACCCCATCAGCTGAACCAGCTGCTGCCGGACCTTCCCAAAACAATGAAAAACGCAACTCAAATAGAATCTGCACGACCCACCGCAACGCCAGACGCGGTCACAAACTTCACAAGCGGAACGTCAAATGAAGCCAGAAATGCAACTGCCGAGGCCGTGTGACAAAAAACCTAACTAGCGCAACGTGAACCCGGAGCGCATTGCGAGCAGCAGAATAAAGTTCACAAAGTCAATGGAGGCAAATCAGACTAAGAAAATAATTCAGCCTCAACCGAAGGCACCGCGTGGATTTAAACTTGGACATAAACTTGGACATACAGGCCTTTAAGTTGTTATTTCACTCACCCAATCACAAGAAGTGGTGCTGGCTCAAAGCTCTGATAAGTGTTAGCATGCACCCCCCCTCAAGCCAACCGGCCAATTCTGACCCCATCCAGGTGCAGCAGGGGGTTAAACATGAACGCCTCCCAGTCTCCCTGCACTGTTTTGTTACTGTGCGAGCGGATCGCCGCCCCAAATAGGTGACGATACGCCTTCCGTGAACACAACACCTCTGCTGGAAATACTTTCTCTGACACGAGGTCAAAGTACTTTGGCTACACCGTAGTATGCCGCCACGTACATTACACACAAAGTCCTTGCCACAAACGAACCACAAAACCTTGCTGAGCTCGTCAAAGAGAATATACCATCGTAGATTTGAAGCTTTCGTGACTGCAAGGATTCATATTCTTAGGTTTTCTCAGTAAAGTCACGTAGGTAAAAATTTTAAATTAATAAAAGTAAAATACAGCAAACCTAAGAATATACCATCGCGCAAATTCCGGTCATCCTTGCAGCAATGGCTTTTGGTTGGCCATCTATCAAAGACGGTAACCGCATTGCACGCTTTCGGATACGCTTCTACGGCCATCTGGATTGCACTTCCGATATTAGGAAGCCACTGGTGCTATGCACTTTTAAATCTAGATTGAAAACTCATTTATTTAAAACTTCTTTTTGTGTTTAGTTTGTCATCCTTCCCGCACACCTTTGATTAGCACGGGTGGCTAAAAACGGTGTAAAAAAAGTTCAACATACATGCTGCCACTGGTGTTTACATACTTGTATACATCACGGCACGTGTGCAACAACCACAACACTTTAACTATTCATTATCCTGTGGTGGCTTAACAGTGCTTATGAACGATTCGCGCACACCGGTTTAATTATTAGCTGCTCCACACACCGACCTATTTCCCCACGTGATTGGTAACACGTGGGGAAGTAAACCCACGTCACATTCGATGTCTTCACCCTTTTTCTTTATAAAAGCATTGTGGTTATATTGCGTTGACAATGATGCACCAATCACAAAAAGTTCACTTTCGTCAATAACACTGCCTTGAAAGGAAAAAAAATATAATAGGCAACGTTTTGGACGATGGCCCTATTTTAGAGCATTATAAAGGCCATTTTCCCAAAATGTCACTTGCTTCCATAGAAAAGAATTACATTTTCTAGAATAATTTAAATACGTTGTGACTTGTTCGTGTTTTTTTTCTTGATTCTTGTTAAAACCAGGCCACAATTTTCTCCTCCCCCTATTATCATACCAGAAAATTGAGATGGAATTATTGTAAATATATTTTTATTTATGTAGCATGTAATAACACTGGTGTCACCTCAATACACTGTAAAGGCCAAGTATGCAAACACACAACACTACAGAATAATCTTAATAGAAAGAACAGTTGGATAAGTTCAGCAATGTTGAGGTAAAGATAGCCGATTATAATTATGATTGCGATCTGTGTGTGCACAAGTATTTAACGTGATGCACAGCATTACTAGCTTGGCACGTCACGTAGGACGTTTAACAATCACAGCGCATGCAGTGTGGAACGAGTTAATTAAAAATTTTAGTGTGGAGTATGTATGTGTTTTGAACTTCTTTTGCAATGTACGTAGCCTACAGTGCTAATCGGAGGAGCAATGAAGGACAAACTAAACAAAAAATCAGTTCTAAAGAAATTAGTTTTCAATCTAGAACATCGTTAAACTAAACCTAGCATGGTGGATCTCGAGGACTGGAGTTTGGGAAACCGTGTACACCAACCCGATAGGGTCCCACCGATCTAATTCAGGGCCAAAATTCAAATGAAGAATGCATCGTTTACACCCCTAAAATCAGACATGTTTTAATATAATACACACAATATTACAATGTAAATGCCCAGCCCTTTGTGGGGGTAACACGACCACACTTCACCACACGTATCTGCTGTGTCAGCGATGCAAGCGGAATTTGGTGAATTATTCCATTAACATGCAACGAGTAATGCCAATTTATCCAGGAACTCCCAAAGGAGATAAGACTTTCTTTTCGGAGCGTTTATATACTAAGATGTTTGGGCCAGTGGCAACTGCCACCTCACAGCTTCACTTAGCCTTACGTCAGCTGGCAAGCCACAGCGGGTCACCCATTCAAGTACTAAATCGAGCTCAACCAAGCTTAACTTCCAGGTCCTCAGGAGATTGGGCATATTTCGAGTGATGTTGTCACACGATGGGACAAATATGACATTTTTATTATTTTATCAGGCCCACTGAGCTATATAGCTCTTTTTCAGAATCGACCTGGCCACAAATGATAGCTCAACCAAGTGGCTTATCACGTGGAAACCTAAGGCAGACAAATATACTCTAAATGTATGTTGATTCTAAATGTGGAGGGGAAAACCAGAAGAAAACTCCATGCGACCACAGAGAGAGACATGCAAACTCCAAATATACAGCAGGCGTAAGGGTCGCGATCGAACCCATGACCTCCTGTATACCAGGCGAGGTAGTTACCTCCTAGCAACCGTGGCACCAAAATCAACAATGGATAGCCCTCTCTTGGTTAGCCTGAACATATTTATCTATACAAGACGAAAGGAATGGGCTGCAGTGCAAACAAATGCAATGTAACGTGTCAATAGGCTTTTTGTTCATAAAGTTAAACAGACTTAGTGCAGCCAACTTACGTAAACCGTTCTTGTTAAGACCAAATGATATTGCAAAGCTGTGTCAAAAGCTCGCACGTGATCACCCTAACCTCATATTATTATACTGCACGAGGGTTTATTTTCATTACTGTATAAACAAAACGGCTTAGTTACACAAAACCAGTTTAAAGTTGGCTGTTGTCAAGAAAAAGGGTCTCGGTGTTATACATCAAAAACATTTTAATTTGACAAAAATGTTAATATTGCATTTGTGCACTATCAAAAACACGTTTTAACCACCAAATCGTTTGTAGAGTGCCGATCGCCCCACTCTAGGTGAGTGGGGCATCCAGGTGAGGCAAATTACTTGGTTCACCAACATGATGAAGATACTGTAGTATGTGCGTGTTTATTTAGCAATGAGGCTTAGAGAGCAATGGCTAAGCCCTATGAGCGAAACCAATCAACAATCCACCAGCTGCAATGTTATTGGGGTGGGCCCACATTTATTAAATCTTGTTTTTGTAATATTCTAGACGTAAGCACATACACGATTGAGTTTGTGCCAAGTCAGGTCCCTTGGCTCTTCTAGAACAGCATTAGAATTTACACAAGTTGGTCAGGTTTAACCTTTGTTAACATATCTACACACAAAACAAAGATCCCCTGTATAGCCTTAACAGACTGTTGGGGCAAGTGCTGCTAGCGCGTAGCACCTATGAAGGCCGGCAAGGCACACGAGGGGCTGGGGTGGACAGCACCACACCCGGCCGCCTTTGTCTCCCCTAGTGGCGATGTTTACTACACACCGCACCAGGTACTCATTTGAGGCCGAGTCAACCTAGGGGTGGTTCAGGAACGGTTCAGATAATCGTTACCGGTGTTGGCCGCGAGCGGGAAGAATCGAACTCGGGTCGCCGGGTTCTCAGCTCGGTGTAGCGCTAACCACTACACCACCACTCCCCCCACTGTAATAGTACGGTGGGAAAGAAGTTAAAAGTACATCAGTTAGGGGGGTCCTTGACAAATGACGCAAGTGGTCGGATTTGTTTGCCAAATGTAATCTCTCGAACGTCACTCGAATTTACCTCGCCAAAAAAATAGAATAACCGGATAGGGTTAACATTACAGTACTTGTAGCACTACAGTACCTAACCAGACTGTTTCTCACAACTCCTCTCACGTGGGCCATCCTGGCTCCTCCCCCATTTAGCCAGTATATAAGGTCGTGTCTCTTGGGACTTCTCGTCACTTGATACAGCAATTTTGCTGTGACGGTTTTACCTGAAGACGGAAGCTTGTGTTGCCTCCGAAACGTCGTGATTTAATTTATGTTTTCTTTTAACCTACGTGACTTTCAACCTGTAATTTATATTTACAAAACCCTTAACTTGCCAAAAAGTTGACTAAAAATGTCGTTATTTATTGAGTTATGGCGTGTCTTGCCCAATTATAATTTTATACTTTTTCATTTTAATTTGCACACCTTTTACACCGTTTAAATCGCACTATATATTGCTCGTTATAATTGGAAAGTGGCTATAGCCGAGGCGTTAGGTGATTATTTTTCACGATTTTAGCCCCGTTGGGTGGGTAACATCAATGAGTAAACTGCGTTAATATCGCGCGTAGGAAGATAAGTTTGGTAAAAACATTTTTTTTATCTCAAACGGGGCAGGCAATTAAAACTCGAGAACACGTATCCACACGGCGTGTATACTGTATAACACGAAACTCCATTCAGACGCCGGGCTAACATCAGAATCAGCATCTAAACTACAAAACATGCGCCTTTAGACATCGTATTTGCTTCGTATGAGGGGGGACGGATTTTTTATTTTAAATAAAGTGCATTTGTGAGGGGGGGAAATGTTATTCTGCCTTACCGCGCCAAATAGCACGGCATTATTTTATATTCCTGTACGTTTCGCTACCACCTTGAAGCGCAAACGTTTCGTCGAGGCGGTTGCCCTCTCCCTACATAACCTTTCATTTCTTTAATATTCTTTTACTATATGCAACCGTGTGGCTTTACGTTCATCGGGAGCGGCCCCCTCACGCAATGTCCGAGGCGGGCCGACCCCACCGCGAAATGAGCGCTGCGCAACGGCCGCCCGTGCCCCCTCGACAACAGCCACGAGAAAAGGGGGCGGGGCGTCGGCGCGGTCCAATCAGCGCTCGCCTCCCACGGCAGACGACGTCAACGACACCCCCGCTACGTAACGCGCCGCGCCATTGGGGCTGCAGCAACAACCCCCCCCATCCACCAGCGCCACCACCCGCGGTGGGCGGGGCCAACCGGCGCGCGTGAAGTCACGGGTGGGCGTGGTTTATGCAAATGAAGGCAGCCGCCGTCGCGCGGCCACGCCCCTTTTCTTTATTTATTTATATCGGTTCGCTCCCGGGGGCCTCGATTTGTTTATTTTTTTACTTCTTATTCCCGCCTCCCCTCTCAAAAAGAAACGTGATTTTTATTAATTTTTGGGGGGGCTTTCGATCAAATTTCTCGACGGCATTTCGTCAGAGGGTACTTCCCCCGTCGATTGGCGTCGAGTTACAATTTTGTTTGGGGGGGGGGGGGGGGTCGGTGTATTTTTGCGAGAGTCGTCGGGGGGGGGGGCCCTTTTAGCACCCCCCGTGTAAAAACTGAGCGCAAAAAAAAAAAAGAGAGGGCCCAGAAATTTTGTGCGGGAGATTTGAGTTGGGGCGAGTGGCCGGCGCCGCTCACCATCTCGGCGAAGCCGCGCTCGTGTTCCGCGCCCCTCCAGTCCACGCGTCTCGGCAGCAGCTGCCCACAAACAAACACGAGATCGCGCACACAAAACACACGCGGCCTCGTCAAACTCCGTCGTCCTCACCGGGGACGACCTCTCCCCCCTCTTCCCCCGCGAGCGTTGAGTCGATCCGCGGATTAATTGGCGAGATTTAAATGCCGACGGCGTGGGTGGTTTTTGTTACCTTGTGTTGTTCGATTTCTCGCACAAGGACCTGCGAGTAGGCGGATAGGGGTGGAGGTGGTGGGGGGGGGATGGAGGGAGGACACGGCAGGGTCAGTCACCGCCGCTTAGGCTCGTACAAAACAAAACCCAAATCGGTGAAATCCCAACAAAACCCTTGCGCCGAACGATTAGTAAGGGAACGACGATTTACCTCGGCCGCCTCGCGACATGGCCCCGCCGACAGGAACCTCGCGATTAGGAAGAACAACTCTGCGAACGGAGAAAGAGGGTGGGCGACGAACAGCGATGGTGGGTTGAAAAGGCGGGTTTGAGCGAACGACGAAACGACACGAACGACGGTGGGAGACTCGCTGTCTTTCTCTCCGCGCCTAGCGCCTATCACCCCTCCTGCTGCTGCCTCCGTGGCCGGCGCTTACCCGACTCAAGGCGGGAGACGCCGCCACCGCCGTGGCCGTGGCTCGGCCGTGCGGCCATAGCTCCTCCGCCGCTTGAGGCCGCCCCTGCTCGGCTCAGCCTCCCTCTTTAATTATTTAATTTCTCTCGCGCGCTCCGTGTGCAAGGGGGGGGTGAGGGCGGGGCTTATAGCAAGGGCCACTGCCTAATATGGGCATGAGCTGGGCGTGGTTTCACGCCGTGTTGGGGGAAAGTGGGCGTGGTCTAAGTGAATGCGGTTGGCTTTTGTGGCTGTGGGCGGAGCCTGTTGAGTAGAGGGCGGGGCTTAAGGGCCAATTGGAGAATGGGGGTTGTGGAGGCGGGGATTAATCTGATAGGGGGTGGGGCTTGACGTTAGTAGGCGGGGCTTGATGACTGGTGGGGGCGGAGCTTTGTCTATGATGGGCGGGGCTTACTCCGTAGTGGGCGTGGTTAACTGCGGGAGGGCGGGGCTTACTAGGCTCTCCGCTTTTAGCTTGAAGCAAAAAAAACACAAAAAACCGCATCACCGCCTCTCCCCCGTGTTGTGGCGATGGGCGGGCGCCACCGTATGCGTCCGCCGCGCGGAAAGAGTTCCCCACGCGGCAACCCCCGGGGGGGTGCCGAGGTAAAAGGAGAGCGTGCGTAGCCGGCACCGCTACACCTGCACATGCAGGTGAGCCGAAACGGCAGTCAATTGTCAAGCGGTGAGGTTGATTCTGTTTGTATCTGCGACTACTCTGCGTGCTTTGTGTTTCATCGGGGGGAGAAAATAACATTAGCGTTGTCAGCGACCGCAAAGGTGCTCGCGCTAATTTAGGTGGTACGATTAATATCGTTATTAATTTTTGTTCAATTGTGGCTCGGCGTTAATTGTTGGTTGCGGATGTAGACCGCGCGGGCAGAGGTGGGGGTGGTGGTGATGCGGCGCCCCTCCCCCCTCTCGGCGCGGAGGGATACGCCTGCGTGACGTCACGAGGCATGGCGGACCGGAGCAGCCGCGTCAACTCGGAGAATTTAAAGTCGCTTCGCTGTCGCCTCGGTCCAATTTAAATGTCGATTTATCAAAAGTCCGTCTCGTTACCGCCCTTCGTTTCATTTATATACTTTGGTGTCCATCTCGTTCGGCGCGGCGTCACGGCAAGAACCGGGAACATTAACAACCTCGCCGAGAGCCGGTGAGTGAAACGTGTTGAGTGCAGATTGGCTTAATTTTAATTATAAAAGAACTCTGTTGGTTATCGCTGGATAACTTTGACGTACCATTCAAAGTTAACGTGCCCCGTTAAATGTACTGCTACAGCCCGTTTGACAAATCGTTTCCTGGATGACTGCCCTCCACCAAACCACCGCGTGCCGATCAGGGGGGGGTGTCGTTTTGCCATTCAGTACCGGTACTTTATCGACCCTGGCCAGTGGGTTCAGTGATTGTGAGGCCGTGTGCAGAACCGGCTCATTCATCTCTCGCCACTGACGTTAGCCGTGGCCCCAGGAGTAAGATAACTCTTGGGGGGGGGTGGGTTGCCGCCTTCATGCAGCGCGCTAACCACTTGACCCACCGCTCCTAGAAGTGTGGTGCTGTGGGGAATTCAACAGTGCGTGGTGGGGGGTCCGGGGATTCTTCCCGTGGATGTTCCTGCGTTCTGCTCGCCGTGGGAATGTGGAATTTCCAGCACGGGGAGATGAGCGGCTAGCTAGTTTCGAGAGGAAACACGTGGTGGGGTTTGGCTTTCGTGAGATTTGGGGAGAAGTTGAACTCCGCTGTCAACGTCACCCACACCACACATTGGGTTTAGATTTGGCTTTTTTTACTCGTACGTGCACTTTATAAGAGTAAAACATTCGTATACACATTTTAATGAGACAGACGTGTGTGATATTAGACGGTGAAATCACAATTATGAATGTACTTTTTATTAATCACATTCCAAAGTCAAAATAATTTCGTCCCCAAATGAACATGGGGGGCAATCACTGTGTGTGTGTATCTCTCAGTTGACAGTCCCGAGCCAGCTGGTGGGAATTCTGCATACCCATGGTGGGTGCGAGTCAAAACATAGGAATACCATCTTCATTTGAAGCTTTCGTGACTGCAGGAATCCATACTCTTTGGTTCTTTCGGCAAAGTCACGTAGTGACGTGGTGACTTTACCGAAAGACCCACTTCTGCCTTCGCAAAGTGTGGTACTAGTCCTGTAGACTTGTACAGGAAATGTTCACTAACCAGCTTGATGTCGTGCACATTTCTTCAATGGATGACGGCTTCAGGAGACCTTCATTCCAGCAGTGGATTGATCATGGCTGATGGAAATCATTTAATCTTCATATAACGCCTTTCACAATACAGTCGGAAGTGTAATTTAGTATCGTACAAAAGTCTCTGTTATTTCGCTCAATGTTTATTTCAGCAAAATAGGTACATTTGTATTTGAATATATTTCGTGGAATAATATGTCCTACTTCACAGTGGCTTTTTGGGCTTGCTAGGCTCTGTGTGCCATGCTGACTTGGCTCCGTGTGCCAGGCTGACTTCGATACCCGTGACTGGAGAGTTTGCCCCAGCAGTGTTATATTGATGCCTCACCTCTACCAGGTGTGATGGTGCCCAGCTGTGGTTCCATCTAGTGGCGTAGCTATCACGTGTGCAGGTGTTGAATCTGCAATGGGGCCCAGACCCCGGGTTATGAAGAGGAGGTGGGAAATTTAGCCACGTTGCAGGAAGCCACGTTGCATTCCATAACAACGACGCAACGCCACTGGTTCATTCATTCCTCTCGCCACTCGGGTTTTCAGATTCAAGTCGTGGCTGTGACGGAGTGATTGCGTGCAAACGCATACCAGGAAGCGATTCTGGGAGCGTCTGCAGGCACGGAAGTTTCTATGAAAGTTGTAAGACCCAGTGGCTTTTTGTGTGACACCTTAACCACACGTTCAGGTGAATGGTATGCAGGCGGTGCTGTTGAGTGTCGCGCATTGCGCGTGTGTGCGACGTGCGCAATTATGCCCCCTCACACGACAAAGGACCGGAGTCTTGCACACATTCACACACGAATGCACCGCACGTACCTCATCTGCCCACACAATGTCTGTACGTGTGTTGGCGCTCCCAAGAAGTTCAACGCCTTTTTGACGGAAACGTTACGCGAGGGGAATTGTGCGAGTACGTGGTGTACGTATGTTGAACTTCTTTCACACCGTACGTAGCCAATCGTGCCAATCAGGGGTGCGGGGTGAAGGACAACAAACTACACACAAAAAGCAGTTCTAAAGAAATTAGTTTTTAATCTAGATTTGAAAGTGCATAGCTCCGGTAGCTTCCTAAGGACCCAAAAAGCACTCGCTTACCATTTATAACGTGTTCTTTGTGCCATCGCACTGCACTATGGACCCTGCGAACTGAGTTTTATTCCTGGCCACGGCCAACATCAGTGGTGAGGTATATCCTAACCGGTCCTGGACACCCCCACCCCTCCTTCACAAACCCACTCCGACCGGTGTGGTGAAGTTTCGTAATACGAACCCTCACGACCAACACGGCATGGAGAGGCCTTCATCCCACAGTTGATTGGCATATGGCTGTAAATGAATTATATTTAATTATTTCTCGAACTTAATTCTAAACATTTGTTATCGTACACTCTTAAGAGTCCAGTTCATCACCCATGCTAACAAACTATGGTTTATGGCTCTATTACTCATCACACATTTACATTCCCCGTGCTCGACAACTGTGTGTGACGCATTTCTATCTCTGCTACGTGGTCGTTGAAAGTTAAAGGGTTGCGCAACAAAGTGCACAGGACTAGATTTAGGCTGTCAGCTGTTTACACTAAACAGTTTGGAGAGGAATTAAGTAATCTTTTATTGGTTTTGTTCCCCCTGCACAAGGACTGTCTGGCTTTGGCTTTATTGCTGTGCTCAGAGTTGTGGATTGGCCTAGCTGTTGAGCCTTGATTGCTGGTTTAAGCGTGGTTTGAAACTGCTTCAACAGACAAAGTTATAGGCTGACCCAGGTGGAGCGAACCGGCCTACCTGCACTCCACTCTTAGTGAGTCCACGCGGGGTCCTTGAAACTGTATAGACCAGTGATTCTTAACCTGGGGTGCACGCACTCCCGGGAGGTGCGAGACATGGCCAGATGTTTTTAGAAGGTAAATAATCGAAACGAATATTAAGCACGGGCACATAAGTACAACTACTTTGTTTGATGAAACCTATGTATTTATGAACGTTATCATTTAAAAAAAATTACGATTTAGAACCAAAGGGGTGCAATCCTGCGGTAAAGGTTAAGAACCATTGGTGTAGATCTTCGGTGACTGGGTGGCTCTGTGTTCAGAGCGTTGAGCTTGGCCCCGCTCAGATCTTGGGTGCGAATCCAGGCAGCCTGCCTCTGGTTAAATCTAGATTGAAAACCCGTTTCTTCAGGACTGCCTTTTTAAATCCTTTATATTAAGTTCGCGTACTTGCTTGCTTGCTTGCTTAGGACCGTGCAAATCTTTCGGTCGTTTTTTAACCCACTTCCCGTGATCCAATCGAGCTGACATTTTCCACACAGACTCGTTGTGCCAGACAATTATTGTTCGTGAAAAAAATTCCCAAAAATTTACACTTTTTAGGCAAAAAAAAAATATTTTACATATATTCAAATAGAACGCATTCATGGGTTTGGCTGAACGTCAGAGTGTAAGAGCCCAGAGCGTAACCCCTCCACAGGCCGTGGCGGAGTAGCGCAGTTGGTAGCGCCCTCGCTTCCCATGCCAAAGGTCGCGGGATCGATCCCCGCGTCCTCCACAGGCGAATATATTTTTAAATCCTTTATATTAAGTTCACTTGCTTGCTTAGGACCGTGCAAATCTTTCGCTCGTTTTTTAACCCACTTCCCGTGATCCAATCGAGCTGACATTTTCCACACAGACTCGTTGTGTGTGACAATTAATTTTCGTGAAAAAAAATTCCAAAAATTTTACACTGTTTAGGGAAAACAAATGAAAATTTTAATTACCAATTGCTTAATACTGGCAGACAATCATCTGACCCATAGATTGCAGCCATCTCAAGCCAGAGGACGAGAGGACTCTAGCCGCCACGCATATAAAGGATTTAGAGTGAAAAACTTTGTTTTTACGGGTTTACTTGTTTGCACCTCCGATTGGCACAGTTGGCTACGTACGGTGCAAAAGAAGTTCTACATGCCGACAAAACCGGTTCTCAATGCAGGTTAATTTATGGTCTCGGCTGGTAACTAATGACTGCACGTAAAGAAAATAGCCCATCACTTTTAACTTTGTTCTGCACTTAATTTGAGAAAGTTATAGCTTGGAGAATTACAAATGTTAATTTGACTGTCACGCAATAAACATTACTCTCAAATCAGTAGCATTGCACTGCTGTGCGAGAGATCAGTCGGAATGATTTAATATTTCCCTTTAAACTACAATCGCGGACATCGAGATAAGAATTCATATTGAATGGTAAGAAAAGTAAGTGGACTTGGGCAGGACGCATTGCTAGATGATGATGGGCCAGTGGTTTGAGAGTAGTGGCAGAGTGGCAGCCAGAGGAGGAAAATGCCCAAGAGGGACACCACCTTAGAGAAGAGATGGAGCAATGAGATAAACTCGTGTGGGAGCTTTATGCATCACAGTACCATGGTGAGTGATGAGCCATGGGGAAGTCTTCATCCTAAAAAAAAAAAATTCCAGGTGAGTCCCACTGAGCTATATAGCTCGTTTTTTAGAAGCGACCTGGTCACAAATGATAGCTCAATGAGGTGGCTTATCACGTGGAAATGTATAGCAGCCAAATAATCTAAACGCGTGTGATTCTAAATGTGGAGGGACAAACAGGAGTACCCGGGAAAAAATACACGCGACTATGGGGAGAGAGACGCTGCAAACTACAAATATACAGGCGTCAGGGTCGGGATCGAACCCATGACCTGTATACTAGGCGAGGTAGTTAACATCTCGCCACCGTGGATGTACTTGTTCGTTACACATTATTGTCAGTGTATAATTATGATTAATTGTGTAATGCTATAATTACATGCTGTTTTTCACTCATTAGCGCAAGTTAAACTTTAATCGTTATTTTCTGTGTCATGTATTTACAGCTCTGAAGGACATCCCATTTTGACGAAGCCTAAAATGTCGTGGATACGAGAGGATGCCCCCAATTTCTTTCAGAAATTCTGTGCCAATATCTTGAAGGTAAATGGTTATGTTTACATTTCATATTGCATTTAACACTCATTAACTACAAACTATGTTTATTTTACCAAGTAAGGCCCACTGAGCTATGCATCTCTTTTTCAGAAACGACTTGACCACAAATGATGATAGCTCAACGTAGTGGCTCAGCTTTTGAAAATTTACAGGAGCCAAATAGTTCTAAATAGCAGCCTACTAATCATGTAACAAGGATACATTATTGTATAAACTAGAAAATAGTAATGTTGTGATAGAGTAACAAATTATAGCTTAGAAAATATATCTAAATTCTGGTTGATATCTGTGATATCCACAGAAGCTGCCGATATCACAGACTACCTATTGAGATCCTTTCAAGTGATCTCAATTTCACACGGATAAGGGCAGCACTTTCCCCTCTGTCCTGCCGCTGAAAGTAGTAACGCACGCTTTAAACAATGAATAAAGGATGTGGCTCAGTTGCTCAAATGTCAGACCACTGACCTGGCACCGCTGAGAACCTGGGTTCGAATCCAGGTAGTGTAGTGAGTTGATGGTCTGAGGCCGATCACCGCTTGACTGCACAACATTTAATTTGGCTCTTCACTTTATTGGATGAATCTCCAGCTCGTAATGATTCAATTAAAGATATCTCAAAGGTGGCTCTGTGACATACTCTTCCATGGGCCAATTTATAACGTGTTGGGTTTGTGCCCCCCTACGAGATGTCCCAACAAATTATTCGTCTAATATCGTGGGATAACATTGGGGGGGAAAAGGCAAAACAATATTTAAAACAAACCGACGGGCGAAGCCGTTGGATAGGCATGACCCTGACGACAATGATACAATGCTGTCCCCCGGTGTTTTGTGGCAGGCAGGGCCGATGCCCAAGCACATTGCCTTCATCATGGACGGGAACCGGCGGTTTGCGAGGAAGCAGCATGTGGAGAGGCAGGAGGGACACACGCAGGGCTTCGACAAGCTGGCACAGGTACAAACGTTTTGAATGGGGAGCGCGACAGCGGTACGTGTGGCCTACACCTTATTCAATGATCTCACGTGGTCTCAAACGTGCACTGTGAAGTAGATGACACTCTTGCTCTGAAAATGCAACGGATCTTTAACGCCAACTGTTTTCTTTGGACTGTGACTGGCACACGTGGCCCACTTTATTTTGAAAACATCAAAAGTTCGTTAACTTCCTGCGAAGATGACAGCGAGTAGCCTTCATGGTTAATGCACACCACGATATTAACCAGGGTGGCCGCTGGATTCAAACATCCAACCTCTGCAACAAACAGGCCAATGTACGTATGTTGAACTTCTTTGCCACCGTATGTATCCAGCTGTGCTAATCGGAGCTGCCGGGGAAGGACAACAAACTCAACACAAAAAGGAGTTCTAAAGAAATGTTTTTAATCTTGTTTTAAAAGTGCATAGCTCCAGTGGCTTCCTAATATCGAAAGGGAAGAGCGTTCCAGACGGCCGCAGAAGCTCGTTTGAAATCGCCCGTCTTTGTTCGACGGCCGGCCTAAAGCTGCCGCTGCTGCGATTTTACGTCGACGAGTTTACGTCAACGGTTTACGCTCCTTGACAAGAACTGCCCTGCCGCTCGGCTGCATCCCCCCGCGCTGCGCCAACAGACGCTGCGCTGGTGCCTGGATATGGACGTGCGCGAGGTCACCGTCTACGCATTCTCCATCGAAAACTTCAAGCGTTCGCAGGAGGAGGTGGACGGACTCATGGAGCTCGCCCGCCAGAAGTTTGCGCGGCTCCTGCAGGAGAAGTGAGGGCTTACCCTTGCCCCCCCCCCCCCCCGCGTTGTTTAGGATAGAACAATTTTATTCTTCGCTGAAATTTTTGGGTTAGACCACATTATGGACTGGCCAAATGTGTGCCCCTTAACGCCCTCCACCAACCACCACGATGTAAGCGATTAATTTGTCACGTGTACGAGCGTTTTAACGCGTAAAATTATTCTTGTTTCAGCTCACCACTTGGTTGAAGAACAATTCTCAGTTTGCAAAAATGTGGCTGTGAGAATCACTCTTCGGCTTACTGGTGAGCTGAAATGGCAATAATTGGACGGATTTAACACTTGTACCCGGCGTTGTATGTGAATGTGAACGCGTGTGTGCATGGGGAGTGGTAGTGTAGCGATTAGCGCGCTCTGCCATGAACCTGGCAACCCGAGTTCGATGCCTGCTCATGGCCAACACCAATGACAGTTATCTGAACTGGTCCTGGGCCGCCTCTAGGTCGACTGAGCCTTTAAATAAGTAGCTAGCGTGGTGTGTAAACCTCGCCACCGGGGAGACAAAGGCGGTCAGGCGTGGTGCTGGCCACCCACTTCCTCCTGTGCCATTCCGGCTTTCATAGGTGCTCGCTTACAGCACTTGCCCCAACTTTCTGTTAAGGCTATACAGGGTATTTTTGTCTTGTGTGTGCGTGTGCCCGCCTGTGGTTGCGCCCGCAAAGGGAGAAGCTGAACAGGTACGGCGTGCGTATCCGCGTACCGGGCGACCTCACGTTGCTGCCGCAGGACATTCAGGAGCTCATCGCCAAAGCCGTGACGTCCACCAGCCATAACGACAAGTATTATTTTTACCTCCTTTTTTTTCGTTGTCGTTGTGACTCATATCCCGTTTTGCACACTGCTGACATTGTAACGAGACGAAGCATCCACTCCGATCTCTTGCAGAGCAGTGCAGCCTGCCCTGTTAGACGATTGCCCTCGGAAGCGTATGCCGCTGAGTTACCTCTGAGATCCCTTCATGTGTGAACTGTGGTCCGCACACAGTGGAGGGCAGTGCTTCTATATGATGAAAGAGGTAGATTCAACAGCATTTGAAAGTGATATGTTTACCGAATTAAATTCGGACCATGATTTAAATTCTCAAGTGCAGAACCATTTAAAAATGTGATCGTTTATTTTTTCAATTGGAAACCACACTATCGACTCATTGCACTTGAGAACGTGGTTCAATCGGTTAGCTGCCTGGGTTTGAACCGAGAATCTTTGCGATGCCAGCTCAACGCTTCTGACCTCTGAGTCAGCCGGCCAGCCACCTCACAACAGGTAATAAGAATGATTTAATGTCCCTTATTTACCCAATGATAATCTTAAAAGGTCCTGCCCTAATTCCCTCCGCTCTTTGATTTAACAATGCCCACTGCCGCAGCAATCATTCCAGTAATGCTACACATAGTAGTATGATAATGTTCGTAATTATATGAACAATGGTTGGTGTTGCAGTGGTTAGCATGCTGCGTGCGCTATGAACCCCAGGAACCCGCACTGACCAGTATGGTGATGTATGGTCAGAAATCCCCGTGACTGATGTGGCATGAAGAGACCTTCATCCAACAGTGGCCAGAAATATGTTTTTGCAGAAGAGATATTTTACTGGCCCATAGGAGTGAGGTGACCAAATATTTACCAGTATGATTTTCTCTTGGACCCAAAGGTGGATTATGTGGTAATATTTTCACATGTGTGTGTTATCACATTTAAACAAATTGGTACCGTTAATGAATAATCTATTTTAAAAATAATTCATTTACAGCCCATTATTAATCAAAATAGGGTGACGCGTCCATGCCGTGCCAAAGTAATATCTGGAAACAATTCCCGGAACCGAAATCAAGCACACGGTCACGAAGAACTTGCTCAGGTGTTGAGGATGTTGCTGACCCGACCCGGTTCGTTGGGGTTCGGGGGCGAATGTCTCGCGCGAGGGCGCCGATGGTTGGTGGGTAGCCCGTTGACCTACCCCGCGTTGGTGCGCTGTTGCCCAGGTGCTTCCTGAACGTGTGCTTTGCGTACACGTCGCGCCACGAGATCACCAACGCCGTGCGCGAGATGGCCTGGGGTGTGGAGCAGGGCCTGCTGCAACCCAGGTGAGGCCCACAGTCTCATCCGCATGTATATGTACGTACGTAGACCTTCTTTCGCACCGTACGTAGCCAACCGTGCTAATCGGAGATTTGCCAGTAGTGCCGGGAAGCTCATGACGCCTTTACCACCACCAGTTTCAGCCACAGCTCAAGCCATTGGGCTTGTTTCTGCACTGGTGTAAGTAGCAAACCAATTAGCGCGGTTGGCTACGTATGGTGCAAAAGAAGCTTAACATACATTGGTACGAACCGAATGGTGCTTCAGAAGTGCAGTGGTAAACAATGGAACATGGGAAGGGAAACTCCACCCTGCACACCTGCAATGACCCACGGCTTCATTTCACACGATACGTGGACTTCTTTGTACATGGCCCATAACTCATTTTTAAAAGAACCGCGGCTTGATTTCACATTGCCCGCGGCATCGTTTGAAACGAGAAACAAAACAAATAAGACGATAGAATCGAGACCAAAAATAATCTCGAGTTGAATGGAAAATCAACCCCCAATAAGTGACAATTTCTGAAATTGCTGAGCGGTAGATTTTGACATGTGTAATTAGTAATGCCATGCCACTCCAGTCGTGACAGTAAGACTTCCTACACCAATATGCAAAAGGTACCTTTTACCATCTAATTGCAGATTTACTACAGTTATAAATACGTCTAAACTATGTTTTTGTTATTCTGGGTTCTTTCGGTAAAGTCACGTAGAAGGGAAACAATAAACTAATAAAAATATAAAACAATAAAAATTATCACGACGTTTCGACTGCAACAATCATCATCAGGTGTGAAATCCACAGCAAGAAATTTTTAAAAAAGTGGCGTTTTTTTCTTGATGTGGATTTCACACCTGATGAGGATTGCTTGTGTTGCAGTCAAAACGTCATGAGAATTTAATTTTATTTTATTATTTTATTGTTTCTCTTCTACGTGACTTTACCGAAAGAACCAAGAATATGAATCCCTGCAGTCACGAAAGCTTTAAATCAAAATGTTTTTGTTATTTAACCAGGCATCAGGGTCAGGATTGAACCCACGACCTCCTGTATACCAGGCGAGGTAGTTAACATCTCGCCACCATGGCATTAGGTGAACGTTCCGGCTTTCACAGGTGCTGGTCACTAACAACACTTGACCCAACAGTCTGTTAAGGCTACATGGGTGTGGTGGGGGGACTTTTGTCTCTATTGTACACAGCGACGTGACGGAGAGCCTGCTGGACCGGTGCTTGTACACCAGCCACTCGCCCGACCCCGATGTGCTCATCCGTACCTCCGGGGAGGTGCGCCTCAGCGACTTTCTCCTCTGGCAGGTCCGTCCGTACACCGGTGCCGCCCCTTCTTAAGCCAGCGCATTAACTAAAAACTAAACAGATTTTTATTTACCAGGTAAGGTCCACTGAACTATGTAGCTCTTTTTCAGATGTGACCTGGCTATCACAAATGATTTAGCTCAACGAAGTGGCTTATCGAGTGGACATTTATACCGGCCAAATACTTTTAATTGTGTGACGTTGCTTCTAAATGTGGATGGAAAAACCGGAGTACCTGGAGAAAAATCCACGCGACCACGGGGAGAGAGACATGCAAACTCCAGATATTCAGGCGTCAGGGTCGGGATCGAAGCCACAACCACCTGCATACCAGACGAGGGAGTTAACATCTCGCCACCAAATGTCCGTGTCATCGCCAATGCAGAGGGCTAAAGCTGAGCCCACGCTGGCCCACACAATGTGTGAACTCGCATGTCTCCCCATACCCCTTCTCGACTTTGGCACCTCCAATCCAAGCCGGCGCAGGACCCTCATCGCTGGCGGTTTTTCACTTGCTTTTTTTTGCCGTTGCGAGCCACAATCAAACCTCGATACGCTGGCCTCAAGCCTCGTGGCTTCGGCAGGGCCAGTGGACGGTGTAGTTTCAAGTGGCGGTAGTACACTGACGACACGCTGTGTCGCAGCGTCGTCTGCACACGTCCTCGGCTCGTTGATTGTGCGCGACGTCAGCGTCACGGCTCGGCTTCTGCTGCGGAAGAACAACTCGGGGAGCCGCCCGAGCCACAACCTCGTCGGCGTGGCATGACCGCGATGCAGCTCGATTGTAACGTGGGGGTCGGGGGGGGGGAAGCCGTCGGTCAACTTTTTCGCTCGTGCTTTGCTAAGCGGGAGGAGTACCGGTGGTAATGAATTAGCTCTCAGTCGGTTGAATGTCATCCTGTCTTGTGGCTCTGCAGACGGCGTACTCCTGCCTCGTGTTCCAGTCGGTGCTTTGGCCGGAGTTCACGTTTTGGAATCTCTATCAGGCCATCCTGCGCTACCAAGTCAACTACCACGCCATCCAGGTGCGGGGCAACCAGAGGCACTGTTGTATATGGGCCCAGCGGTAACGTCCGTCGGTGGCGTGGTTTGGTTTTGAACGACGGTCGTATCGGCCCGGCAGAGTTGTGAAACTGGCGGCCCGTGGGCCAGATGTGGCCTGCGCATGCAGGTTGAGTGGCCCCGCCAAGCTGAGAGATGTGGTGTGAGAGAGACGTGCAAACGATAGACTACAACTTTAGGCAAGACACAGATTCAAGAGCCACAATGCAATGTGAATAACGTCACTTCGGCAGAATCGTTTTTGTGTTTGGTTTGTTATTACCCCCGCACCTCCGTTTAGCACTGTTGGCTACATATGGTGCGAAAGAAGTTCAACATACATAGATTAGTGAGATAAAAGCGAGATAATATGTACCAGTTTCCCTCACGTTATGCGGTAGATGCTTTCCAAAAAAAGGGCGCACAGAGGGAAACTGCGCGGGACGGCTGCCTGCTAAGTAAACAGGGCGACGCCGCATCGTACGGCGAGTTTTGGGTAGAAAGTTCACCGCACCTACGCGAAATTGCACAAACCGAACCCACATTAGACCAAGGGAAACCGTGTAGATGATAAAGCTGGTGATACGGTACAGACGAATGAGATGATAGATATCCACAAATGCCTTTTACGTCTCATACAGGAGGGGGCAGTGTTGACAAGCAGTGCATTCTGACTGCTTTGCTATTTTTATGGACTGGGTTTAAATCTGGATTTCATCCCCCTGCGATCTTACCTGGTCCCCAGTGACTACACAACAGCGGCCGTTATGTAGCTTTTCGGTGCGATTTTGGGTTGTGTCGCGTGTGGTATGGCACGGCGTCCGATGTTTCTCTCCGTGCCGTGAGTTTCTTACCTAAAGAGGCTCACGGCGCTTTCATCTCGCCAGCGATGAGCCAAGACCAAATATTGAATTTGGTTAGTACTGCCCGAGGTGGCGTAATAGTCGTGGTTGCAATTTCCTTGCGTGCCCTATCGCAATGAAATTCTGTGGTAACCATTTGAAATGAAGTCGGTTCTCCAGGAAGTTTCTGTGTACAGTATTAGCCGTGAAAATACATCGGTACTCCTAAAGTTTTCCTTCCTTCGGTGGTACCTCCGATTAGCACGGTTGGCTACGCACGGTGCAAAAGAAGTTCACTATTATACGTACACACCACTTTCTGCTCTGGCCCACTGAGCAGAGGTCGCAATCGGGTACCCGATACCCGTACCCTACCCGATACCCGGCTGGGTACGGGTACCCGTATGCGACCCTGGTGCGGCCGGGTACGGGTAGCCGCACGTGACTCACCCCAACCAATGAGTGAGAAGGCCGTGAGTCACTGGTGAGTCACCGTTTGTCACTCATTTCCCAACGTCTTGTCTCTTCTCACAATTCAAGTTCCTAGAATCAACCCACCCGCGCCTGCAACAAGGCTTCATCCCAGAGGTCACAATCGGGTACCCGATATCCGTACCCTACCCGATACCCGGCCGGGTATCGGGTAGGGTACGGGTACCCGTTTGCGACCCTGGTGCGGCCGGGTACGGGTAAGGAATCAAAACCAGTTTGCGACCTCTGCCACTGAGTAATCGGGAAAGAAGCTCTCGACACGCGGAGACCGCCAGAGTCTCAGCCGGACCTTTTCTTTCCTTTTGGTCGCCTGCAGGAAGTGCGCGCGAGCCACCGCGATGACGTGGAGCGGCAGGAGCGCGAGCTGGACCTCAGCGTCGCGCTGCAGAGGCTGCGGCACGGCGAGGGGGTGGCCGGCGACGACCCCACGGCGGCGGCGGCGACGGCCGAGGAGGAGGAGGCGGCCAGGCAGGTGGCCTGCGAGCGGCGCGAGAGGACCCAAAGATTTCTGCAGGCGCTGGAGCGCAAGCGCACGGCCTACTTCGAGGAGCTGAGCGCCGAGCCCGCGAGATGACGCTGAGCGTTTTGCGGAGTGGCGCCGCCACCGTCGCCGCCGGTGCGAGCAACGTGTCCAGACTGCTTCGATCCAAACGGGGCTGCTACTGCTGCTGCTGCTGTCCACTGGCGAGAGTGTTGTCAACAACATGGGCCTTGGTGCAAGAAATGAAATGGGGGGGAGGGTGGGTGGGGCCCTGTCCAATTCTCACCGTGACCCCCCAAACCCACCTCTTCATAGTCGAGGAACCTGGGACCCTCCAGCCCTTGGGCCACCCTCTGTGCAGTTGCACTGCCTGCACACTCGATATCACTACACTACTGACATTCGCCGACCAATAGACCATACTTGTCAACCCCTTATGAGTGCCTACCTTTATAACAGCCCAATTCAGATCTTATTGGTCACCCCCGTGCCCTTAGAAATCTCGACGTTCATCCTACAAAGTCCCATCGCAAGGGAGAAACACAAACAGACGCATTTTATTTTTTGTTGCCCGTATTGAAACAGCTGTACGCCGTATGGACCTGAAAACTCTATTTCCCTGTACAAGAATACGGGTAAACCGTATGGGTTAACAACTATGAATAGATTCCTATTGGAACCGTGGACTCGTACAGAGACCCCTAGACTCCCATAGAGATGAATATAGTCAAAAAACCTGTCGACTACTCTTAGAACAGTAGATGCACGTAGGACCGATACAAGCTAAGGGACCCATAGACTCGCTCACACAGGACTCGTAGACCCACATAGGACCCATAGACTCATATTGGAACCATCGACTCGAGTAGGACCAATGCTCGGAGGCCCCAAAGACTCGCATCGGTTTCGTAGCCTTGCCAGCGTGGGCCCCGATGCGAGGAAAGAAAGGGGACCCTCTGTCCAATTTCCCTCCCTCTCTCCGTAGCACGGCACTCCGGGGCCCCTCGAAACCGTGGGCCTCGGTGCAGTAGCACCACCTGCACGATCGATGGCCACGCCACCCGCCGCTGGCCGCTTTGTGGATGCAGAAAGTTGACTCTCCATTTAGCCCACGGTTGGCTACGTACGGTGCGACAGAAGTTCAACGCACAAGGCGGGGCGGCGCGTGTTGCGTCGCTGGACACGTGGCAGAAAAACGTAATCGGCAAAACTTTAAAATCCAATGTTCGATCACAGCGATTGAAATGCTGGGCGACATCTCTGTGTAAATCGATGTAATTAATATTATTATTGTAATGTTCAAATGTATTTGGGGGGTGCAGGAAAAAATATATATACGTCGTGAGCTGTTGTGCACTTTGATTATCGCGAAAACTGACGAATTTCAAGGAGCTTAAGTGTTTTGCGAAAAGTCGGTTAAAATCCATCGTGGTCATTTGCCGACTCGGCAGTCAAATTGAATGCGTCCCGACCCGTCAATCATTGCGGGATCTGCAGATTGTGATTCCATGCGTAAAACCTCGGATCGTACACAGTTGCTGTAGAGTCTGTGAGTATTTCAACGTGCCAATGTTGATCTCTACTACATGTATATACACGATTTGTTCCACAGAGTTCGGCAGTGAGAATTGTCATTGCATATCTGAAGCAGACATTACGCCTGCTTCCCATGCCTGTCCCTCCTCATAAATCATCAAAGGATGTTGATCCGTCCAATTGTCGACAAGGGGACTGTCTCCGTTAGAGGGTCCTTGTGTAATATAAACATCTTGCGGTTCTAGATTTGAAGCTTTCGTGACTGCAAGGATTCATGCTCTTAGTTCTTTCGGTAAAGTCACGTAGGTAAAAAATTAAATTAAAATTAATAAAAATAAAATAAAAATCACATCGTTTCACTTCATGCAGCAAATCTGGCTGTGACGGTCCCACCTGATGACGGAGACTTGTGTTGCCTCCGAAACGTCGTGATTTTTTTATTGTTTTATTTTTATTAATTTTCTTTTTTACCTACCTGACTTTACCGAAAGAACTAAGAGTATCTTGCGGTTCACCAGCATTGGTTTAAGCGAGCATGACTGATGAGACACTGTCGAAACCAGTCTCCTTGCCTACGAACATCAACATTTGTTCAAGCCTGTCTTTTTACAGGTAGGAACAACAGTTCCACACTGCCCACCAGGGATTATTTGTCTGTCGTGCATAGCCACGCCCTCGATTTGTATTTCATAAGAGCGCTTCGGGCGGGCTCGGCACCACGTGACGCGCCGCCCCACGCAGCTTGCGCCGCGTGACACGGATCGCACGAATGCGCTGTCCAACCAAGTTCCTACCTGCCCACTCCGAAGGAACGTGTTTCCTGATGACACGCCGAGTGTCGAAATCGGACGGGGGTTTGCTCGTGTTGAGCCTATGCTGATTTAAGTAATGTAATGCACTCCCAGAAGACCGTGTAGCTGATGGGGATGTGTACGGAAAAATATCTAATTTTAATGTGGAGGGATGTATGGGAAGGAGGCGTTATGATCTATGAAACGACGAGCTGATTGTTGCGTTACATTGGTTTGGTGACACCGCAATTGGCAGTGATGCACAAATAACACGCAACTTGTTTGTCCACAGCACTGCTTCCAAATAAGAAAAGTGTCTAACCAGGTGACGTTTTGGACAATGGCCCTCCACAGCACACACGTGATCTGTCACTTTGATAGAGGTCCCCTCTAGCGGAGTTCGTCGTCGTTCGGCGGGGAGGTCAACATCCCTCGCCTCTTGGTGTGTCGTGAGACGTCGCCGATTCTACATTTCCTTTCTCTCAAGGCGGCGTTGCGAACATTTTGGGTGTCATCTTCTTGGTTCTTTCGGTAAAGTCACGTAGAATGGCAATATTAAAATAATAAAATAATTCTCACGACGTTTCGGCCACAACGCAAGCAGCCGTCCTCAGGTGGAGAGCAGGTCTGTCGAGTAGACTGAGTCTGAATGACACACTCCAGGCTTGGAGCGCCAAACCTCCTACGCATTTCACAAGTAGTACTAATCGCATATCTGCATTTCCCATAAATATGCTAAATTCCTCTTGATATGCAAATTATTTTGTCAAGGCGCCCTTCCCCCCTCCATCCCAGCTTAAATAGTCGCTCCAAGCCTGGAGTGTGTCATTCAGACTGTCTACTCGACAGACCTGTTCTCCATCTGAGGACGGCTGCTTGCGTTGTGGCCGAAACGTCGTGAGAATTATTTTATTGTGTTATTTTAATTATTTTATTATTTCCCTTCTACGTGACTTTACCGAAAGAACCAAGAAGATGAATCCCTGCAGTCACGAAAGCTTTAAATCGAAATTTTGGGTGTCGTTTTTGCGTTCAGAATTCAAGTGCCGTCTTCTCTGTGGAATTTTTGTCCTACGCTGCTCGCCCCCCCCCCCTCCCTCCCCGCCCACCATCTGCTCGCGTTTAGGCTCTGGCTCTTTGCGCGGCGATTAACGGAGGTTCGATCTCGCTTCACCCACAATCCATTTCACGAGTGAAAAGGCAGCTTCTCAAATAAAGACGCTGTTTAAATTGAGGTCTCCTTGTGTCTCTGCGTTGGCATTGTTCAGTGAAAGGTAAACCCACCAAGAGTTTATATTCTTGGTTCTTTCGGTAAAGTCACGTAGAAGGGAAATAATAAAATAATAAAAATATTAAACTACACATTCTCATGACGTTTCGACTGCAACACAAGCAATCATCATCAGGTGGTGTTGACGTTAGGAAAAACCGCCACTTTTTTCAAATTTTCTTTCTGTGGATTTCACACCTGATGATGATTGCTTGTGTTGCAGTCGAAACGTCGTGAAAATTTGTATTGTTTTATATTTTTATTATTTCCCTTCTACGTGACTTTACCGAAAGAACCAAGAATATGAATCCCTGCAGTCACGAAAGCTTTAAATAAAAATGTCCCCAACAGTTACGAACATCTTCTTGGTTCTTTCGGTAAAGTCACGTAGAAGGGCAGTAATAAAATAATAAAAATAAAACATAAAATAATTCTCACGACGTTTCGGCCACAACGCAAGCAGCCGTCCTCAGGTGAAAAAAAAACGTCGTGAGAATTATTTTATTATGTTTTATTTTTATTATTTTATTACTTCCCTTCTACGTGACTTTACCGAAAGAATCAAGGAGATGAATCCCTCCAGTCACGAAAGCTTTAAATCGAAAGTTACGAACATCTAAAATGGGCCAAATCCCCAAGCGACAAACGTCACTAGTATCGAAGTTGTAATAGGTAGGCGTTAACGCCTCTCTCGAATTGAGTAGAGACGACAATGGGAGATGTTTCCAAAGTGGAGGCAGTGCAAGGGAAGAAACAGGCAGGAAGCTCGTACGACCTGGATTGAGCGCGGTGATGTGAGCGAGCGAGTGTGATTGTAAGTGGGTGAGTGATATCGTTGCTGTGACCCACAGTATGATGCGATCGAGCACGGCATGATGATTGAACAGTATGGATGAGGGTGGAGGAATCAATGAGTGACGGTCAAGTAAACTAAGCATGGTAGTAGCAATGGCACAGTGATTAGGAGGTGACGATGCTGTACTACCGCGTATTTAGTTTTTGAACTTCTGTGAATTGAAGAGGAACTTGATGCTAAACCTGAATTTGAGGATGTGACCGATGGAATTGAATCAGCTTAGATGGCATGGCATTGTCCCCCGCTTCTGTTATTGCACACATGTTGTGTTTTTGGGCAGGGAAACGGGAACCTACAAAAAGCCAATTTTCACTCGTCTGTGGAACTTACTTCACTTGTACGTAGCCAATGGTGCCGATCGGAGGTGCTGGGATTTGAATCTGTACTTTGCGGGAGCCACAAGTGACTACGTCCGTCCTGTCGAGATGTTTGCATGCGGCCTCACGCTCGTACTGTCGGGGGCAACTTTTCTCACTTTTCTCCACTCAGGTATGGATGACAATTCACTTGAATCGCTTATATGGCCTCTTGTTGCAGCAGCCCTTTTTCCCACTTCAGCAATTGTTTCTTGCTGTGGTTGTCCCACCTGATGACGGACGCTTGTGTTGCTCCCGAAACGTCGTGATTGAATTTATTTTCATTTATACCCACGTGACTTTACCGAAAGAACCAAAGAGTATATGGATCCCCGCAGTCACGAAAACTTCAAATCTAGATTGAGTTGACTTCTAAACCTTTCAGAGTTTGCGGGACGCTGCGGAGGTGCCATGTTCAGCCACACTGGATTTGCAATGCAGAGGTCGCTAAATTAGTGTCACCGAAGCGAATAAACGTTGCAAGTTTTTTTTTTTTAAATCCACATCCCCAACCGCCTCTAGTCCACCCAGCAGCGGTGTAAACGGGTGGCACTGCAGTGAGTTGACGGGCAGGGTCGCGTGCATCTGAAGGGGTTAAAATTGTGGGTACTGCCACCTCTTCCAAGACGTCTGGTCAGTGTGAAAGAGTAGGCCAAACATGCTCGAGGGGTACTCTCTCAATAGGCCCCTTCCACCGGCAATGGCATAAATAGGCAATTGCGGGGCTGCGCTTAGCTTTTTTTTTACTTTCCTAATTCAATACAGCTTGGCCTCAATATGATCTTGGTGGGCCCGTGTGAGTCTATGTATCTGTGTGAATCTGTGGGTCTCAGTGTGAGTCTATGGGTCGCCGTGTGATTATCTGGCTCTCTGTGCGAGTCCGTGGGTCTCTATGTGAACTTGTGTATACATTTATAAGCCTTTGGGTCACCGTGTGAGTCTGTGGGTCTCTAGAGCAGATGGTGGGACGGGGTTTTGGTGGGGGGTGGGTAACCGATGTGATGTGTTACTCTACAGCAGTGGTTCTTAACCTGGGGTGCACGCATGCCCTTTCGGGGGACGGGGGGGGGGGTAGCGAGACATGGTCAGATTTTTTTAGTCGGTAAATAATCGAAACGCGAATTAAGCACGGGGCGCGTAAGTCCAACTTACTTTGTTTCATCAAACCCTATCTATTAACATTCTACAGCAAAAACATGTTTAACGATCGGGTACCGATGGTGTGCCAAGGCTGCATGCAGGAAAGGTGAAGAACCACTCCGAGACGGCAATGAACTATTGTAGCATTGGATTGTGTTGCCCAGAATTGGCTGTGATTTTTTTTCTCGTGCTTTCAGTGAGGCGTGTTTTAACTTGTATTTTGCCTTTCGGTGGGGGGGGGGGGGGGCGGGGTTGTAGTAAATACAATTGCGATGTATAATTCAGTATATCATATTTTAATCGTTGGAGGGGGGGGGGAAGCTATTCGAATAACTTAACGAGCGTGTAACAATATGATCAATGGAAATAGCGCGTGGCTTTGTCGAGAGAATGGATATACCGGGGTGGATGGGCACTGCCCTACCCTACCCTGCATTCGGATAAGAAATTAGATTTTTGGCAGGGCACTCGTAAATGTTCAGGGGTGGGAAGTGACACGCTGCACCGGATCTATTTTCTTTCAGAATGAGAATATTTATTTATACTGCAGGAGTAATCCGATGAGCTATAAAGCGCTTTGTCGCAGATGTCCAGTTAGGGGAACAGGGTAAGAACGTGACAACAGCCGTTACAAAGACATATAAGTCGTGCAAAGTACAACAAAGGTAAACAAATCACCCAAATACATCCTGACTGACCCACGATGCCGAGCGAAGACCGAAGATCGGAGACACGTAGCACCGAGGATTGATTCCAGAGAACAGCCCCTATCGGGGCTCGGGACTCGCCCCCTTCCAGATCCTTCCCGAAGACTCTGGCTCCTACATCACGTGTCCCTCTCGACTCCTTTTGGGCCCCCTTGCCACCTCGTCCGGTCACGTGCCCTCTCGGGGTCACCCAGACTGTCACGTGCTCACTCGACCTCTCTCTCGCTGTCACCAGGACTATGTCCCCTGGGGGCTGCTTCCATGGCATGCCCACTCTGGTGCCCGAGAGAGGCCCAAGACCCACGGTTCTGGCGCTAACCGCCATAGTGAACCCATTTATACTGGTAGGAACCTCTTGGTTACACCAGCCCACAGGGGATTATTGTGTCCGTCCGTCCGTCGTGCAGGGAGGGGCTGGGTGGGGAGGGAGCGGCTGGGTGGGGAGGGGAGGGTGGGCTGGGTGGGGAGGGTGGGGCTGGGTGGGGAGGGGCTGGGTGGGGGGTGGGAGGGGTGGGGCTGAGTGGGGAGGGGCTGGGTGGGGAGAGTGGGGAGGGGCTGGGTGGGGAGGGGCTGGTCACCCCGTGGTGCCCTTATAAAACTCAACGTTTAACCTACTCACGCCGGCTTGTGCCCGCCCTCACAGTCGGGCATATTTGCGGAATACACCACGCCGCCGTTGACCCTGGCCATTGACCGAGCAACCCAACGTTCCTACCAGCTCCCTCCGCAGGAATGTGTTGTCATGACATATGTACAGGTGTGTAGGAATATAGTAGATACATACACTAGAGCCAGTAGTAAATACTACTGCCTATTGTATGTAGGGTGTGGAGCCATATATGCCTACAAAATAAATTTCTTTTTTTGGGGGAGGGGGGTCGACAATTGTTGGATCAACTTTTCACCCCCACATTTAGCTGCAGAGGAGGGGGGGGTCCACTTTCCATAACTTTTTTTTAAATTCGGGCCTTCTGCAAGGCTCTTATTATTTAATTGACGGGCAAACTGAACGTCGGCCTTTTATAACAGAAGCATAAATGTGTCCCCCCCCCCCCTCCTCCTCCTCTCTCCTGTCCCGCACAGGCTCCTGCGAAGCCACTAACGTCACCGCAGCGGCGGGCACGCGCGCCGTCCTGCGGTGCCGCATCACGCCGTGGCCCCGCAACGGGAAGATCGAGGTGGCCAAGTGGTTCCACTCGGGGAGCCACGGCGCCCAGCTGGTGCTCAACTCCGTGTGGGGTTTGACCAGTGAGGACGGCCGCTCGGCCCTCCGAGGTCAGCTGGACGAGGGTGACGTCTCGCTGCACGTGGAGCGGCTGAGGCTGCGGGACGCGGGTCACTATCGGTGCCAGACAATGATTATCGGCGCAGTCGAGGAGACGCGGAGGAGACAGAGGCGCGTCTTCGTTTGCAACGTGATGCTCGCCGTCACGCCGGATGATGGGGAGGCGCTCGGTGGGTCGATGTTGCCGGGGCGGTGATCTCGAGGGGCAGAAAATATTCCCGTCGGCGAAAGTGGGGGTGTTGTTGTTGTTGCTTCCCCTCGGATTAGTGTGGAGCGATGACTGCCAGTGGTCCGACAAAATGATGAAGCGTTGTCGAATGTAAAATAGTAGGTTTGGTTCTTAAGAAAACAGCAAACATCGTGCTAGGGAGCATCTCGGACGCGCGTTGCTGTCTCGTCACGCTGCGTTCATTAAATACATCGTGGAAAGAGGTCTCCCTTTTGAGGCGGTTGAACTCGAGGGGTCGCCATACATCTCTAGGCAGGTGCGCATTAACATAATTCTAGGCAGGTGAACATTAACATCGCTCTAGGCAGGTGTGCGTTAACAGCGTTCTAAGTAGGTGCGCATTAACAACGTTCGGCCGGATCGAGGGGGCTAAACGGGCGCGGCACGGGCT